AGTACACGGATAACCACGCTGTGTAAAAAATGTAGTCATGTCCCGAGATTTAACCAGGAAGTCATCGTCGTCGGAGCAAAGTCGACGCAGGCGGAGGAACTGGCTGTAAGGGATAGCACGCTTGCAGTGGTCAGGATGAAAAGAAGAGAAATGGAGGTAGTTGTGAGTATCTGTTTCCTTGTAGAAGGCAGAGGTTTGAATCTTATCATCAGAAATGCGTAGGTTGATGTCCAGGAAGGGTAGTTCCGTGTCAGTAATACTGGATGTGAATTGAAGTGCTGGGTGGAAGTTAGAGACGAAGTCAATGAAGGCTTCGAGTTCCTCTCTCCGGCATGACGCTGCTCCAACAATGTCATCGATGTACCTTTTGTGCAGCTGAGGTATGAATCCGGTGTACTGCTCGCGACTTTGTTGTTCTACATGTCCAACGAACAAGCAGGCATAGTTTGGCCCCATTTGCTCCCCATTGCAACTCCACCGAGTTGACGATAGTATTCGTTGTTGAAAGAGAACATTTTACATGTATATCGGAAAATCTCGTGTATTGCATATCCTACCGCAGATGCTCTCATCTCTACATCGGTGAAACCGGTCGTAGCCTCAGAAGTCGATTTGGTGAGCATTTGCGAAGCATACGCAAGAACACTCCTGGATTTCCTGTGGCCCAACATTTCAACTCTACGGGCCATAGTATCACAGATGTCCAGGTGCGTGGTATGCGTTTGTGTAGTGGCACCAACATCCAGCGAAAGCAACAGGAGATGAGGTTGATTTTTCGGCTAGGAACAGTGCAGCCGCATGGACTAAACATAAACTTCAGCTACATTTAAACAATGCACGCGCAATTTTTCTACGTGCGCGCGCCCATCTYACGTAGTTACAAATCTACTGCGTATTTTAACGGTTTTTTAACACTGAAGAAGGGTCATATACCCGAAACGTCTGTGTTTTCATGAACATTTTTGACACTTTCCGATATTTATACATCCCGTATCGCTTCAAATAATCGATGCCCTATTTATGACCAAAACGGCTGAAAACCCATACCCTTTAGGGCTGCACATACGTATATAGCCCATGCAAGGAAGTACCCCCCGGGGCTTTGAGAAACCCACCACCCAGCCACCCCAGAGAAGTTTTGGTCGACTGGAAAAAACTGGGTTCTTATCAGGTGACGGAATTTTAGCAGACAATACTTCCGCAACCTTGCACAGAGCAATATCTGCCTTAACTTCGACGGCGATCATGGCTTTTCTCTACCGTGCCTTTGTTGTGTTTGTTCTTTATTCAGGTGAGGTCGTTTACTTCTCAATAGATAAGTTCTTTGCTGGCTTTATCCTCGATAGAGGCAAATTCAACCATGCGTGGTAGCTTGCACGCATGACAAAGCGACGTGGATGAAATTGAAAATTTTACGCTTGGGCTAAACAAATTAATCATTGTTAAGGTTTTTTGTTCTATCGTTTTGTTCGCTGGGATATCACGTAGTGTTTGAACAGCAATTTAGAAAGTTTGAATGGAATTGTAAGTTAGTTTATTCGATTAAGTTTCAACTCGATCCTGTGAACTTAATATTGCGTGCGATCGCGATAGAGAGCCTAATATAAACTAGGGTATCCGGTCGTTTCGCCAACGAGTCGTTTCGCCAACGTCTCGTTCGCCAACGTCTTAGGTCGATTCGCCAACGTCCTAAGTCGCTTCGCCAACGTCCTACTGGTCAATTTAGGACGTTGGCGAACGAGTCGTTGGCGAAACGGCTCGTTGGCGAAACGACCGCAATTCTAAACTAGGTTTATAGTTCTTCACAAATTAGAATTTTGCCATAAGAAACTTGCGATCAACTCTAGATCTACAATATTGAGAATAGCATTTTTGAAAACTAGTAGGAGAATCAAAATGCAGGAAATTGCCAATTTTACCCCTCGACCCTGAAAATATAATTGTCAACAGTAAAGCTCCAGCAATTCAACCACAAAATGCATCAAATGTTCCAGATTTGCCCCTCAAAATGCTGCAAATTGGTAGAAATAGTATGAAATGTATCTTAAGTGCTTTCCTTTGTATATCCCGAGATTCGGTGACTTGTTTGGGAGACCAGGAGATTTGGTCTGTATTCAGGGGGACCCCCAGATGGTCCGAGAGAGTCAGTACAGATTTAATGTTTCAAGGTAGAATGCTGTAAAATCCCAATCACGATATAAGCCACAGTTATAAGGGTCCCAAATCCCTCCCCTTTCTCTTCTGGCCCCATTCCCTTATTTTCCTCTGACCAATGTCAGCTTTCAATTGGAAAGTAGTTAAATAGTAATTTAAATATAAAAAAAGTGCAACCAAGTTTAATGACTGTGCCATTTAACCACATCCTCACATAGGACAATCTTTGTTTTAACAAGATATAATTGGTGTTAAATCTCCTTAACATAAACTTTTAGAAAATCAACTATAGCCCAGCAAACAGAAGTTTTTGTAATTTAGCTTGCTGCAAGGTTCATTTCTATTGATTTTCCATTTGATACCTTTGTCATCTTATGACTCTGTCATAAGGAGGGAAAATGAAAAAATCATTTGGTGAAAGATCTTTTAGTGTAGCTGCACCTAGACTATGGAACATGCTCCCTGCAAACCTGTGCAATATTGACTCTATTTTAACTTTTAAATCCTGCCTTAAAACATATGTTTTTAAGTTAGCTTTTAGCCTTTAGCATCTTAATTACTTTGTTATTGTTATATTTAGGTTGTGTACATACAGTATGTGGTATATTTTAATATTGTAATGTGCTTTTGATCATTATATGCTAAAAAGTGCAATATAAATTAATAAATTATTATCATTATCATTATTATTATTATTATTATTATTATTATTATGTAGAGTATAAGGAGAGCAATATTATTGTTTGTTTTGGGGGCTAATCAATTTAAGTGGTCCCCTAATGACTTAAGGTTGGGGGCTAATTGACTTATAATTGGGGCCTAATCGACTGATGGCTCATTGACTTGGAAGCTAAATGATATACATTCCCAAACCAGACCAAGCACGACTCAAGGGTGACAGTTATTTTAGAATTAACAAGGGGGTGTCAATGCTCTTGAGGTAACTGGAATGCTGTTCATACAAATAAGAGTGCTATTTAGAGGCCTTCCAAGGGGGGTAGCCGTGTAGCCATGTCGCATCCTTTTGTGTGCTGATGTCATCTAACCAGCAGAAGCAAATGTCACTCTCATTTTTCTGCATGAAGTCATATGTCGCTGTCACTACAAGGTTGATTTTTTTTAGAGCTTATTCACTGGAAAAGCACATAAGTTTCTGACGTTTACAGACTGGAGAATACAATTTCTAAATAGGGAAAAAGTCCAAAAGGGTCAATTTCGCTGTCTTTTCTAGTGCTTCTCGTGTCACTGTCGAATTTTAGTGGCACATTCAATTCGCTTGTCGCTGATTAGAAATTCCCGTGTCACTGGTTTTCAGGGTCACATCGCCTGTTGCTTTTACCCCTTGGAAGGCCTCTGTTTAGGCTACAATCCTGTATTTAGTCACTTGTCATCTGCCCACCATTTGGATGTTTGAAACCTCAAGGAGGTGTAGTACCGCTAGTATGCTGTCAGCAATGACTGGGGTTTCTAATTCGGTGCTGGATTGACTCTGAGAATGGGTTTACTTATGCTTTTGGCCCCTAAATGCTTTAATTTGGATCATGTGTACTAAAGGCATCTACATTTGACTGTTGATTGATACCCTCCATCGGCACATGATCAATCAACGCTTGATTGACATCTTGATTGATACTCGGCTGACGCTCAGTCGACACCTGATCAACGTCTCAATCGACACTTGGTCGACAGTTGATTGATAGTTGGCTGAGAGTCAACTGACTCACATGTATTGATCCACACTCGATAGTGTGTCTGCAAAAATAAGGCAACTCTCAACCAAGATGTCAGTCCAGTGTCGTTCCAGTGACAACTGAGGTGTTAATCGAGTATCTATCAAGTGTCAATCCAGGGTATTGATCGATGGTATCAATCAACACTCAACCGCAGATACCTTTAGTACACATGAACCATGCTTTTTAACAAAGAATTTTGGTCTTGTTCTGGTTTATTTATTCTGACTGGTTTTTGTTTGTGGAAATGTTTAGTTCTTGGTGAGTGGACAAATGTAGCAGCTGTAAATGAAGCTACAGCCATACGTGTTGTTCCAAGTCCCTCAGTTACGAAGAATGGTAGCAGCCTTTCAAATGCAACATCTCACCATGTGATGACCACACCTTCTCATAACATGTCATCTGCCATACCTCACAACACGACTGTCACGCCTCACAACACGACAATTACACCTCACAACACGACAATTACACCTCACAACACGACAATTACACCTCACAACACGACAATTACACCTCACAACACGACAATCGTGCCACATAACACTACAATCATGCCACATAACAGCACTGTCATGCCACCTCATAACATGACAATCACACCATCGTCAGCACACACTGTGATGCCAACATCTTCCGTGCATCCAGCACCAACACCAGCACCAAAACCAGGCAACTTCTCGGTGAAGGATAATGGTACTGTCTGCTTGTTTGCCTACATGGCAGCCAAATTTGACATCATGATTGTTTCAACGGTATGTGTCAATGATAATCTTTTGCCTGTAGGCTTTTATGTTACTCTTGTCTTTCTTAATATTAAATAAATAAGCATTTTGGTCATTGTGTGCTTTACTCTTGCAGTTCATCTCTCCTGCCGGGGGAGGGGGTGGCAGTGGGGGGACTCCCATATAAAAAATTGACAAGATAATGCATTATGTTAGCATTGGTACCTCTTAGAGGGAGAAGAAATTTCAAGGTACACCCATAAAACAGAATCTTGGTATCTCTTAGGGGTTCTTTTGAAAATTTCTGACAAGTACCCCCATCTTTTTTATATGGGAGTCCCTCCCCTGGGTCTCTCCACTCAAGTATAAATGTTGAATGGTTAATTTAATCCTGAGGGCAACAATGAGGGGTGCCGAATAGTAAATGCGAGACTTTGCGAGAAGGCAAGAAAAGCATTTTTCTTTGCGAGCTCGAGAAATTGTTACTTTTTCAATTACGAGACCGAGACTTCGAAGTGTTTTAAATGCGAGCTAAAGATGTTCAGGTTATAAAATGTTCAGATGTCAGTTAAGCTTTTATACAAAAAATAAATGAATCGGTACTTTGCAACTTTCTAGCCTTGATAAAAATCAAGACTGCGAGACGCACATAACTGCTTAAAAAACGAGACTGCAAGACCCATGAAATTCGGCGAAAATTTTGTGAGACCCATGGTTTTGGAAGGATCATTCGCCACCCCTACAATGTCATGGACTAGTATACTATACAGNCTTCAGAAACTTTCAGAAGGTCCTTAGAAGTCTTCAGATGTCTTTGGATATGATATCATTGCCTTTTAACACCTGACACTGCCAGGATAAAAATCTCACGGTAGTGGGTAAGGCTTACCTCCCTGGATTTTGATGAAGACCTTCCATCTGATACATGATGGCATTTTGAATTTCCCAATTTTGAAATGTGGGAATGAGGGTGATGACTTGACGTATGATTTTAAAGTTATTGTTAAAAGTAGAGATTGTAATAGTTTCAAGTTTGTGCAAGTTTTCCACCTAAAGTTGTCCAGAGTTGTAGTTTTGTGCTAAACAGCTGTTTGTGTTTGGTAATCCAGATTGTAGTGGACAATATAAGAACATCATGATGTTCCTTTGATATTTACAGAAGTTAAGCCTTGAGCTACCAACCAATGCTGCTGTGAGTGGAGAATGTGATAAATCTGTCCAAGAACCTTACATTACCTTGAACTGGCAGACAATGGAAGGTTACAGCTGCAATTTCACCATGCATTTTGTCAAGGTAGAAGGCAAAACTTTGAAGAAATCCACTAAAGGTCGCTGGGCAGCTGCCAACTTGACATTCTCTTTGAAAAATAGCACTGATGGTATGTCAATGTTTCCTGTTAGTTGTTGAAAGAAAGCACATACCGCAGTAGTAATACAATAGAAAATACAGATGGAGAACATTTCTGGCACCAATGGATAATCACCAGATTATCAGTATATTGGATTAATTGACTATTTCCTGATTGTCCTCAGTTTTACGTTTGTGATTGCTGAAAAGCTAATTCCATCCAGGAGGAGTTCTAAACAGTATTACTACCCATTCTAAGCCAAATAGAAACTTGATTTAAGGATCTGTGCACAAATATCAATGAGCCAGCTGGTTTCTCAGTTTTCTTATTCTGTGGAAGAAGACACCCGTTTTCCACAATTGCCTTCATTTAATAAGTCCCTCACTTCTGAGGGTGCTATTACACACTCACTTTTGGGTCCATTGGTATCACATTTGGACATCCATGAATTCAAGGGTCCATCAAACATACTCAGTCTTAACAGGTGTCAAGGGTTGTTGCCCTTAATGACAGCATCAGTGGTACTCTCAATATGCAATTTAGTGATAGCTTTTTCTGTTTGATTGAAAAGCTGCTCTTTCTCTTTTTACAGAGCCCCTCTACACATTCCATTCTGCAACAGGCCCACTGAGGCAGCTGTCTGCTGATTACGGTTATGCTTACGAATGCCTGACAGATCCCATCAACTTCAAACTTAATGCCAACAATTCCAATGTTAATGTTACCTTAACAAAGATTGATTTTAAGCCTTTTGATGTACAGGATGGGCATCTTGGCAATGGTAAGGATAGAGCATTAAATTCTAATTGTAGTATAATAAGGTTTGAAGTCCATTGCAGGGTTATCCCAGCATGAAGTTTGCCAGTACCCATTTATACACCTGGGTGGAGAGAGGCACTGTGAGAGTAAAGTGTCTTGCCCAAGAACACAACGCAATGTCCCCAGCCAGGGATCGAACCCAGACCACTCAATCCGGAGACGAGCGCACTAACCATGAGGCCACCGTGCCTCCCACATGCCCTGATCGGCTAAACAACAATACATGTTGTATCAGAGTAATTAAAGTTTTCAACTTCACATGAAGAAGTATAACACAAAGTTTTCCTTCTTCCCACTCAAAGTCTGCAGTGTAACCATGTCTGACAAACATCACTCCTCTGCAGACACAGACCCTTTATTTATCTCTCATATATGCTGTATTTAAATTATCACAACTGCTGGTTATATTTGTGGTTCATTTTTGGTTTCATTTTTGAACAGTGTTTGTGTATGTTTACTGTGTATATAACTGTACATATTACTGTGCCTTTCAATAATACACAAACCCTCTCAATCCACTATTTTACATTTCATTGCTGTCAATCATCTGAGTGGACCTCTCAGGACACAGAAATTTACTTCAACTGGTTCAAAAGGTTGTATCTGTGGGTTGTGATTGGTAGATTTCGATTAATTTTTTTGTTGATTTTCATCTAGTAGATATGATTGACAGCTGTCAAAAACACAATGGTTAGTTATTTTTTGAACAAAGCAGTGAGATTGCAGTGAACAGTTGAAGACCAGATGTGAGGGATTATTTCAGAGATTTAAGGACGGTGCCTACTTTTGTTAGTACGCACACGTTCTGCACATTACGCAAGGCATGCTTTAAGTGCCATGCATGCGCTGGGTTGACAATGATGCAATCAACTACGCCACCAAGTACACAACTAAAATGAAAGCAAAATTTTGCTCTGTGACCAAATCAAGTTTAATGTACCTGTACTTAAACCAGGAACACCAGAATAGCAGCATATCGCTAACCACAAACTGTTAACGTCTTCCAGCTGAAAAACTAGCTGTTACCTGTCGAAAATTATACTGAAATCCAACTATAAACATGTACCTGCAGATGGTGTAGTGCGCGCGCAAAACAACTGCGAGATACGCAAATGCTTTACTTACTGGGAAGGTGACAGGAAAAAATGTAACGGGCACTGTAAAAGTTTTTGAAAAAGATGAATAACTTTACAAAACATATGGTTAGCCGTACATTTTACGTTATGAAATGGAAGTGGTAAGCCTATTCAACATGTGATTAGTTTCTGGTTGTGAGCAAAAGGTATTTAGACTGTATTTTAGCTGAACCAGAGGAAGGCAGTTGGAGACGCTAAAAACCCTGTTGCAACGATTTTGTTATTAAAAACATACCAAAAATCGTTTTTATGTTACCATTTACCACGTAGTTTTAAGATCTTTATAAATGTGTTTGCTTCTATGATTCTAAGGAAATCTGTAAAGAAATATCCTTTCCTTCTTTTGCAGAAAAAATGCTGACATCAGCATTTTTCCTGAGATTCAAGGCTAGTTATCTCAAAAATATGGGTGGCTATCCCCATTTTTCTTTGTGGATCCCAATAGCCCTTGCAAAGATCTACTTTTTCTGCATGGTCCTAACCTGGCACAAAACCCGCTGTATTCAGTAGGCACTGTCCTTAAAAGAAGTGCTTTTAACCAGAGCTGGTTGAGTTGGTTCTATATCAAAGCTTCCAACATTCCAAGTTAGTTATGAGTACAGCTACATCAGTATACAGTTTTAAACAGCTGTATTTCCCTACATATATAACAGAGTTTATACTGGTCTGTGAGTGTCTAAAATTATGTAAGTGAGAGAAATGCAGGTTTTTAATGCAGTGATCTCAATCAGCCTCTTGGAGATGTTCTCTTGTGAGAACATGAAGTCAGAGTAAGAGCACAGTTCATAAATTCCAAAGGTAGTTGCTTATGGGAGTTGACACTTACAGAAGCTTTCATTAAGAAGTTAAAGGGTGTGATTAGAGTAGGTGCAAGAGGAGCTTCAACTGTTCTTGCCTTGAGAAATTTTTCTGTTTTCTCTACCATAGTGGAGAAATGCAACTCCCCAGCAACACCAACGTCAACACCAGCACCAACACCAACACCAACAGGAAAACCAGAAAGCCATGTGGTGGCAATTGCTGTTGGTTGTTCTTTGGCTGCCCTTGTTATTATCATTGGCATTGGTTACATGATCGGAAAACGCCGCAAGAGAAACCAAGCAGCTGGATATCGCAAGCTGTGAATATGCCGCACCACAGTCAGATGGAGCAAGAGTTGAAATCTGTGATCCTGGCTGCAAGGGGAATGCAGCAAATAAACTTGTAACACAGTTAGTAGGTTTGTAGAAGAACATGATCAGGCATATTTTTGAGTAACTGTTTTTGTAATAATGAGTGATTTGACTTTACTCTAGATGATTAGCAGTCCAAACTGAACATTGTCTTTTTGTTATGCTGTATGATTGACTTGGACAATGGAATTTTTGTCAAAATCTAAACCATTACACTACAAAATATGCAGTCGGACTGTTGTTAATCATGGAGTAGTTTTCACTTGTGATAATCTGTGGAAAATTTCTCATCAGAACGCATTTTAACCACTTGAAGAGCAACTTTCTAGATGAAAATTATTCTTGGGATGTTATTGGTTATAGATCACTGGAGCATTACTAGATTGATTTTAACAGGATTATTGCCAGCCTGGCAATTAAATGACACTCACAGGTACAAACCACCCAAGGGGAAATCCCATATAAAAAGGTTGGGGGCACTCGTCGTACCTTTTAGGGGCGAGAAAAGCGGTTTCGGTACCCCTCTTAGGGTATTAAGCCTTAAAAGGTCCACAGTGGGAATTTTTGCAGTACCTCTTAGGATATTGAGCGAACAAAAATAAAACATGAGATAATGTTTTGTTTTAGAATTGGTACTGACCTCTTAGGAGTGAAAAGATATCAAGCCACACCCACAAAACAGCATCTTGGTAGCTCTTGGAGGTTCTTTTCAAAATTTCTGACAAGCAGGTGCCCTGTTCTTTTGACATGGGAGTCCCCCCCCCCCCCGCCCTTTCCGGGACACTGACTCCCTTCAAACTCTAAAGAATTGCAAATTTGACAAAGTGGTATCACACTGGAGTTTGAAAAGACTTTTGTTAAAAAAATAGAGGTTACTTTTGAGGCCTGGTTGCATATATAATACAGTACCAAGCTTGAATGAAAGAATCTGGTGGTGGTAGCTATAACTGAGCATTGCTTTTCCTTTAGATTCGGATTTAAATATCTTTGTCACAATTTTTTTGATAAATAAAAGTAATCAACATTCAAAAGATAACTATCAGTCAGGCAGTTTGGATGTCTTGCGGGTGGACTGGGGCATGCAGACATCAACACACCTACCCCTCCCCCCACTGCACCCTTCAGTTGGTTCTACAGGTGGTCTTGTGTCATTAATTGTATTTGTTTCTTGTAATCAGGAGCATGGCTATGCATTTCATGTTTTTACTGAACGGGCTTCTGGGAAGATGATTATAAGAAGTATCAATTTGATAGCAGTTTTCTCACATCCTAAAATATATTAGAGGCTCTTAGAGAGACTTGGTACTTTTGACTTAATTTTGGTAGCCTTTGTTGTTGTGCGCTTGGTATTATTGGCCCTTGTTGTGGCTTGTATTACAGTAAGGTTCATTTCAGCGTTAATATGTAAATCAAAATAACTTCAAATGAAATTGTCTTTTTAAGACGTCATTTGGGTCGTTAGTAATGACCATGCGTACAAGACCTTGAAAAGGTAGTTTAGTAAAGTTAGATTAAAAATCATATAAGTTAAGAGAGAGTTTACTCGTTATTTTCTTTGTTCAGCTATGTCTTATAGGATGTCCCGTTTGTAATAAGTCAGCTAAGGGCATTGAGAAGGTAGCTACAATTTACGCTTTGCATGCTTGTTAGTAGGGACCTTATTACTCAAAAGACGATGGCAACGGCAACGAGAACGTCACCAAACAAAAGGTTGAATGAACAGTATAATAGCTGTGCACGTGCGTTATAATTCTTGGTATTTTTCTTTGCCGTCCTCTGCAAAACAACGACGTGAAATAACCAGTTTTCAAGTTTTTTGACAATGGGACCCACTACGGCTAATTTTTGGTATTTCTGTTTGGAACTGAACGCATTCGTAGCATATTCAGCAGGGGCAAGTTTTAATACCGACAAACACACTGAATAGATCTTAGTAAATGCGAAATTCCAAAGTAATTCCAAGGTGTCGTCCTCGCCGTCGCCGTCGTACATGCGTAAGGTCCCTAATAGCACTTTTATAAATAAACGTTAGGTACATACCCTGCTGTGTTTTGTGTTTAATTTCTAGCTTCAAATGTGCGTCTTTTCATTGGTTGATTGACAACCGCCAATCATCGTATTTACTCGAAAGCGCTGCACTGCTGAACAAACAAACATTACATCACATACGCCATGTATGCGACATCAAATCAAACCTCAGATCAAATGGAACCAAATCAAATCAAACCTTAGATGAGGGGTCGGGGGGGAGGGGCAGCATAGTTTTACATCAGCTACCCCAAACACTTGACCCAAACCTCTCATACTTAAAACAAGACAAGACTGAATTTTTTACAAACAAGAGCAAAGATGTTCGCTTTGCTTCAAGTAAAAGAAAAGCGCAAGGCAATTGCATAAAACACTTTATTTGTGAATCCAATAAATTCTTTTTTGGCATTACAAATCCCCCCAACCCCAGGAAATTCCGATCCCTTCAATGTGAAGAGGATGGATAGTTTCTGGAACAGCACATAGTCACTGTGAGCACTCAAGGCATACACTCTTATTTGTTTGTTTTTTCTAAGGCAGATGCCTATAAAATTATAGGGATGTCAAAAAATATACTATCAAAATATAAAGATATGATAATTTATTGCATGACTAAGCTAGTGTTCAAAGGGCCAATAACTAAAATCAACCAATCAGACTTGTGTTTTACTGACTGAGTAAAACACTTTCCACATATTGGGGTAGGCACTGTTTTGCACAAGGACTTTTCAATCTCTTGGTAGACTTTGTAGTTGGTTCTCTTATATTTTCATTCTTACTGATCCTTACTATAGTGAAGGAAATAACTTACAAATATTACAAGGTTATTTCGAACTTTCATTCCTTATTTGTTATTTTCCTTTTTTGAAAAAGTCACACATAAATCATAATTGTGTGCTTGATGTTTATGATATTTTTTTCCAATCTGTGATTTAAAATTTACAGCGATAGACAGAACTGTTGGGCCACTTATTGCAATTGCCATGAATCATTTACTCTATTTTAACAAGGTAGAATTGAACGGGTTGGTCAAAACCCAAGCTAAGTGCAAAATTTGTATTTTTAAAGGCCCCCGAGAAGTTGTTGTAATCTATTATGTTTTTACTGGCTGGCATAATTATACCTCATATGCAAGTTTCAACCTTTTTCGGTGAATAACAAGGAGCATGGGCTTGATCAAGAATACAAGACTGCAAACTGCAGAGCAGGGGGGGGGGGAGGGAGGCAAGCCTCCTGGGATCCTCCCCTGGATCTACCACTGCATACAGTTACTGGGAAAACGATCACACAAAAACCACTTATTAGAAAAACAAAAACTGCAAAGATAACAAAAAGTTTCCTCATTGTATCGGTTATCATAGAGTTCACCCATTTAGCCCCTTCACCCTTAACGTTTTGTCGTGGAAACTCTTTATCAGGAATCTTGCAGCCAAGGAATTCACACAAAGGTGTCCAAGCTTGTTTCACGTTGAAAGTCGACAACTTCTCTTCTGGAATAACGGCTTAGCCTGTCGTTTCGCCCCAGGTCCGTTTCGCCCCAACTCAAAGTCGTTTCGCCCCGACCTAAAGTTAGTTTGCCCGAAGTTTTTTCACACGATTTAGAAGCAATAAATGGTTAACTTGAACAAAACAAGCACTGTTGAGACCCCTTCTCATCTTACCGACGACATTATCATTGAATACTATGTACATTACGTGCAAACATCTAGCGCCGCTTATAGAACAAGTCTTGCTTCTGTCACTTTTTAGCTCGTAAGTAGTATTCTAGGGAGTAGGGAGGGTAGGGAGTATTCGTGGTCAATTAATGTGTAATGTTCTGTGGGATCGAAAGTGTCAATTTCAACATTCGGTACGCAAATTTTAAATAAACATGCAAGAGAACCCCGCGGGAGAGGCAATGAACCACATCGTCAGAGTGTAACTTCATAGTTTATTGAAGAGTACTACTTTACTTATTTACATGTTATTACTATAAACTCTATTACAACCTATTAGTATATACCACACAACTGAATAGTACTTTTCGCGCACGCTGATTCGCTAGCTCGGTGTTAGCCAAGTACTATTCACCTCCGAGCAGCTGAAGAAAAACAAAATGGCTTCCTGTTTCAAATAAAGTTACTCTTAGACAAATAAATTAAAGTTACTGTTTGGTCCGCTAGCTATTCAGCTTGTATGGTATATACTAAAACAATTATTCACCTCAGTGTTGGTGAAAGTGGTGGATATTTACCTCCACTTTGTGAATAATTGTTAATTATTTACATAACAACAGTAGCGTCAAGAAACTAATTTCCGACCGAACCGAACCGAACCGAACCTATTGAAACGGAACCCAAGCTGACCTAGTCTAAACCTAAACTTAGTTACAACGGTCGCAACTAGAAGTTTATACTTACACGTTTATACTTAAATGAATCTTAATATGACCTAACTGTTCCATTGAGACGACTACAAGCTTTGAGTAATTGCTTTGAATATTCCTCTAGTAATTTGTAAATACATTTCAAACTAGGCTCGATTTCCAGCCGTTTTGGGAATCCGGTTGTTTAGAGGTTGTTTATCCTCCCCGCAACGTGTAGGGCAAGGAACGCGGGCTCACAAAACGGCTGGAACGTGTGCGTCTAAAACGTGACTATAACACTATCGTTTTCCAGCAAAGCTCACCAGCAGTTCTGTTATTTCATTGGGTGGTGGCTTTTGAGTTGACATATCCCTCCGAGAAGGTGTGACATGTTCATAAATCTTTAGAAGGCGAAAACTTGTTTTTCGAGAGAATGCCTCCTCTTTGTAGAATCGACGGTTTTCCGTGAAATTTCGCCAGAACATTCACTGATAGATAAGGAACAAAACTGTGTCGGCGAATTCTGTTATTTTGAATACTTTTCTCGAGGGTCGTACAGGGGTATTCTCGTGATGCGTGATTAGCTGATTTTATTTTCCATCATCCGTGACCTGAAGGTTTTGCGTAACCCGTGAAGAACTTTAACCGATATTCGTGATTTTGAGAGACGAGTCCTCCGAATGGTTAGAGTCGTCTATCGAGAGTGATTTAGGTATGCGATTTGCAAATTGGAGCCTTGGCTTTAGCCTTTCACAATTTTGCTTTCTTCAAACAGTTTTTCTAGTGCAAGAGCAGGTTATTTAAAAGAGCACATTATTTGTACTTGCTCATTTTCGTGATTCGGGAAACTGAGATTTTGATATCCGTAGATCCGTTATTCGTTATTTTTTCGGTTCGTGAACCGTGCCAGAGACTCCCCCTGTACGACCCTCTCCAATAAAGGTCCCTATTCTAAAAGACCTGGGTACGAAAACCACAGTTAGCTGCCATGGTCGAGGGTGAAGTTTCTGGTCTTCCTCTCACTAGTTGTCCAGAATTATATTCAAAATCTTTAGTGAGCTTTATTGCTTCGCTTGAACCTTTAAACATCACGTGGAAGTGCGTATAGGAACACGTTCTACCTTTAATAACCGACATTCTCGACGATCATTCGCCGCCGTTTTCCATTCTCAGTGTCGGAAGTGGAGAAGGTTTCAACGATTTGCCTTTTATCGAAAAGCTGAGCGAAGTCTATCGAGGTAGAAATGGAAAACTTCAGTTGTTTTTACGCGCTATTGAACCTGAGAAAACTAAATTGGTAGCGTTTCGTGCGAAAGGAGAAGATTTACCCGAAAGTTTGAACCAAAGGGTCTGCATGAAATTTGACTGGTGTCCTGTGCCTTTCCAAGAATATGTTGAACAAAAAAAACCAAATGATGCGAAGTTTGATGTTATTCACTTTCTGCACAGCATTTATTACGTTGCTGTTGAAAATGCACTCAAACATTGTTATGAGTGCGAGCTTGGGGATAAAGGAATAATTTCCTCCTTTACTCAAGACAAAGACAGTCCTTATGTTACATACGGTCGAGCGTTCTCTTCCGAAGGCGTTATTTTGAGCCCTGGCTCATATTACAGCAACAAAGAGGTTATAGAGGTGGCAAAAAAGAATGGCTGGAGGTTTGTAGAGTGTCCTGGAGAAGTTACTGCTGGTGACCTAACGGACATCTTTGATAGTTCTTCAGAAGAAGGAGGTCGTGTATTGGATTTCCTAACTCAGCGTGTCAACACGAGACTAACGTTGAGTGAAGAAAAATTGCAGAAAATCCTTGACTACTGGGAAAATGAGTGTACTGATAATGAAACTGGAAGGAAAAAGATTTCTTTTCAAACAAGATCTGTCATGATTTTAAAAGGTATTTAATATCTGTAACCATTTGAAACAAAGAAGGTTTTGAAATGACTGTCAAAAGTAATAATAACACAATTAAGGTTGCTTAACACAGTTTTTGATACCTATGTTTCATTCACCTTTTTCTCTTGATCCCCCGGTCGCCAAAAATGGCAGCAAGCAAGTTAACAACACAAACTTTGGTTTTTTGATGGTTAAGCTGACGTATGTGCCGTTGCCATGACAACACGAATAAAAATAAACAGGCCTTTAAAATCGGTTTTGTTTATTTGTAGAAAATCTAGTCTTTAGATTTTCTTTATAATTTGCATGCATTAAGCTTGTAACGATTCTTACAAGTTAAGACCATTTTGCTAGTGATTTAACAGAGAGATCTTTAATTGTCCCTTGTTGAAGGTTTACTGGAATATCCAGAGTTTCCTTTGTTAAAGTTGAAATATTTTCAATACTCCAGTTACTTATTTCCTAAAGTATTTTCGTGCCAAACTTCATGAAATTCTAATGCGTGGTTCTCGAGAAATAGGCGTATTTCCGAGAGTGCAAATTTTCATTCAATCGCAATTTTTTGACTTACTACAGATGCGCTGCATTTAACTGGGTTCTTTCGGTAACAAAGAAAAAGCTGAGAATTGCTGAGTTCTTTGCATCTTTACCTTTTCTAACATATATTTATGATAAAAGACTAAAGCCATCAATACACTGCGTTCAATTATAGAGAAAAATAGCACAGATAGTGAAGGTGTTGAGTAAATAAAATGATCGCTCTATTGACAACATGTTTGTTGTTTGCAATCCTTGTGCGCGCGCTGAATTGCATCAGCAAAAGCGCGCGCGAAAACTGTGTTCGGCCACCTTAAGTAAGATTCAGTTCAGTTTTCAGCTTTCAGTTCAGTTTTGTTCTTTTTGCACTATTTCCAAACATTTCTACATTAAAGTACATTGCAAGAGTAGAGAGATAGAACAACAAACTAAATTTATTTTAATTACACAAGTGATGAAAAGCAAATGTGCGCAGTGACCAAAGTAGGTTAAGCTTTCGAGTTGGTCACTGCCACGGGCAATTAATTGGCATGAACATGTACATAGTTTAAAAAAAAAACAAAGGAAAGTAAAGTGCAAATAGGTTATATAAATGATACGTGTATTACATAATATGTATATGAAGAACATTAATTATAGAATGTAATAATAAAATTAACATAGATTTATTATAGAATAATTAGTTATAGAACATAGTAATAAAATTAACAAACCATGGGCAGACTACACTTAAGAGACAGACTGAGTATTTAGAAGATACAGTTTGTATTGTTTATAAAAATGGTTATAAGATAGCTTTTTCAATTCTGAGGGAATGGTTTCTCAGAATTTTGTGCTGCAAAAGAAAACGTAGTAGCACCATAATAATTATTATTACTTATACTTGATCTATAAATATTAAAATTAGTCGCAAATGTGGTATTATAGCTATGGATCTCAGAGGCTTGTGTGAGAGCTCCAGAAAACATTACTGGGATGTTTGTGGGGTCACTTTTAATTTCATGTATAAAAAGGGCTAATTTAAATTTATAAATGTTTTCGAGTGTGAAGATTTGTAAAAAATTAAAAGTAGGACATGGCACTATCCCAGCTATGAGCAAAGAATATGCTACGTACACATTTATTCTGTTTTGTTTTGATCTTTTGTAGCCTTGTTTTACAGGCACTGCCCCAACTTGTAATACCATAAGTTGGATATGGACAGATGAAGGAATAATACAGCTGTCTTACTGTATGAACATCTACATAATATCGTAATTTATTAATAATTCCTACACTTTTTTTGATAGTAGAGAACAGTAAAATTTGTTGTATTAAAAACCATTTTTCACAGTGGCAGAAAGTTATATATGTGTCTTGCGCTTGTTCTATGCCAATAGGCACCTTGTTAAATTTTTTTTTCTTCACTAAAAACACATTTTTTTTTGTCCAATATTAGTTTTCAGCTTACAATAGTTGCTACGCTTTGGGGTTGATTCATCTTACGATTGATTCATTCATTGCAATTGATTCATCTTGCAATTGCTGTGTTCAGTGATTGGCTTTAAGATCTCCTGCCATTTTTTTCAATCAATTAAAAGTTAAAGCAATCACATCTTGCATGCTCAATTTTTCTCGGGCTTTGAGCAAGTTACAGGTAATTGCTATAAATTCCAATTGGTTCATAATGCTGTTGATGCCAGTTGCATTTTTCTTAGAGCATTTGCTATGGTTTTATTTCAATTGAAAATTTCTCTTTGACTTGATCTCCATCCATCCAAACACTATATACGAGGGTCATGAAGGGCTAAAATGGGACGTGGAGGTGTATTTTTTTGAACTGGAAAAATGGGATTTACTGCACTAGGACTGGGAAAGGAAGAAACAATTTCGAAGAAGGGAATAGGATTTCTCTTCTTTAGCGGTCTCCAGATCTATAATTTGACACTACTGCTCAAATGAGGCTTAATTTCTGGCAATAATTGTTTACAGTGGCAGATCCAGACCTTGAGCTAAGGGGGGCCCGGTTTTTTTTTTTTGCTTGCCCTACCGGCCTTTCTTTCTTCTGTGAGTCTTCTTTACCCAAAATNCCCCAGGGAACTGAAAATAGTGGTAGTTTGAGATAGCTAATAGAGTACACAGTGGTGGATCCAGACCTTAAGCTAAGGTGGGGGCCCAGTTATTTTTGGTTGCCCTGCCAGCTTTTCTTCCCTCTGCGATTCTTTTTACCCAAAGTAAAGGGGGGCGGGCCTCCCGGGCCCCTCCCCTAGAGGGCCTCCCTCCCCTAGATCCGCCACTGATAAAGAAATAAAGTTCTACATCAGTACACTGCCTGCTACGGCTTCCAGGCTTCATACGGTCAATTTATTTGACTAATGTAATGGACGACAAAGTGTGTTTACTTACTGAATGCGAGATTTTTTTCAGTGCGTGTATCCAAATGGCATCAATTGGTGTAGTTTTCACTCATTATATGGATTAGTTTGCAAACAACCACTAGGAATGGGATTTCAGATTCCCCAAAATTAGAGTGGGATCTGGAATTTAAGCCAAAATTAAGATGATAACTGGGATTAGATACCCCCTTCCCTACTTCATAGCCCTCATACATGTATGGTGTTTGAATCGATTGCATCTTTTCACCTCTATTAAAGAGCAACACTTTTAGATTTTACTTGATGAGGTCAAGGACGTGTTCTCTCTGAATCAAATAAATATATATACTGGTCTTTTACAATATCGATTTGAGGTCATTTTACTGTTTTGATTACCTTAAAGAAAGTGTTCACCATTATTATTCAGAATGCGCAATTCTGTGATTTTTACCGTGCCATACAAAATTAAAAGAAATAAAGTGAATGAATACTGAAAAAAATACAAACAGGAATCAAGTCAATTGAGGCTATCCTTGATACCAGAAACGTTCTAAGTACTTGCAGAGGAGGATCCAAGATTTTTCAAAAGAGTTAGGATAAAGGTTTGAGACAAGAGGGAAAACAAAGGCCTCTGAAATGGCTAGAAATGGATCTAAAACTGTCGACAGTGAAGTTAGTTTTTAATTATTATAAAACAACGAGTAACAAAGTGGCCATCACGTTTGACCAAATTTAAATGAATAGACTAACTTCTAAGCTAAACCCAACAGACGCAACAGTTGAGTGTCACCCGGACGATTCTTTGAAGGTACCGAAGTTGCTTTTTCGATTGTCATTGAGAGCTGCAAACTCATTGGCAACATCTATAAGACAAAGTTTGTCTATTCTCTGTCTGTGGGTGTTAAGTACTGTCAGATTGCTAAATTTTTACCAGCGTTAGCGAGCTTGGCAAATATTGGGACTGGACGGCTTGAACACTTCGCGAGGGCGACACTAAACGGAAACAGGGAATACGGTGAACTCTGTAGAGCTAACCGTTTGGAAGCTGGCACTCGTTACAAGATTCCAGAGGTGCAGGGTCTAGTTTCTAAATCCGATGAGGCGAGGAAACGACAGTAAACACGGAGGCTTCTAATTCTGGAACACAGCAACTTCTTTAAATGTTGAATAAACTTTGTAGAATAAGGTACTTTACAGCTAGTAGCTAGTACACGCGTTACTCAGGTGGAACGATCCTTGAAAATCGATTTGAAACAGCTATAATAAAAATTCTTTTTTTTCGACCATTTCAATATTTCAGGAGAAAGAGAAAACAAACAGCGGTAACAAACATAACATGCGTAATCTATTTGTTATGTTTGTTACCGCTGTTTGTTTTCTCTTTCCCCTGAAATTAAAACAGCTACACTTCGCGTCACTTAGATATCATCTTAAGTACACACAGGTGCTCGCTTTTACAAAAAGATGGTACCAAAGCATACACCTGTTTAGGTCCTTATAAATTTCACTTTGATCAAAGTTGATCCTATAAAAAGTAACTACAGTCGAACCTCCCGTAAGCGACCACCCAAAATGTCAAGCCTACGTAGTCGCTTATGGCAGCTCAGATGGTCGTTCACAAAAGGTTTCAAATGGAGTGATTTGACTTGGAAACTTTTGGTATTTTGGAAAACTGGTCGCTGAGGAGACTGAGGTGGTCGCTTACGAGAGGTGGTCGCAACCGGAGGTTCCACTGTATATAAAAATAACTACGTACATCTAAACAGCTGCTACTATTTCGAAAACTCCGTGGGAAGTTTCTTTTTTTTTCTCCCGTGACAGCCTACAGAAACAGTTAAACAGGATGGTGTGGACAGGAGGGATCTCTGTTCTTCCTCCTCCTCGCCATTTCCCGTCTGGGTCATGCATTTCCACATGGAGACAAACAGGAACGTACTTCTAATAGCTACAACTTTCAAGTATAGCTGCTTTTTAACCCGGGGGAGGGGGAGACTCCCATGTGAAAAGGTCTGGGATGCTCTTCGTCTCGCTTGGGGGTGTAAATCAAGGATTTTGGTCTTACTTTTGACGAAACACCACTACTGTTAGCAGTCAAAGTACCTTTTAGGGTGCGAGGTAGCAAGCTCTTTTATCAAAACAATAAAAACGGCAAGGCACAATATTCGGACCAGTAATTCACTTCAAAAGTCCATAACCATGCACACACTCTTTGCTTTATCATTCTTACAAGGAAGATTGTCGACCTCCGATCTTATTAATGCGAAAGTACAATTTGGTTTGTCGTTGATTACAGCAGTTGACTGCTTTTCACAACACCAATATTGTTTGCAAGAACTTTGTCATACAGGCCGTACAAATCTGGTTGGGGTAAGGGCGGGGTAATGGACTTTTTTACCGAAGTGATGTTTTTCCAACAGTTTTCATTTAAACAAAGCCTGAGCCTCACCGCTCGATTTATCACGCCGAAATTAGTTAATATACGAAGTTTAAGAGGAATTCACTACACTGGTGATCTCGTAAAAATGTGGGAGCCCAAACTTGCCAATTTTTGCAAAGAAATGTATACCAAGGAGGCAACGGAAGGTAAAAATAGTGAAGCTTGGGGTCTCATATCCTTATGAGTTTGCAACGGATTCTTATGAACATTCGGCATAACAAATTGATTTATGGTTTTTTTTTTTGGCTTAAAATGAAAAGTACGAAAAATTGTTGATAGTTCGTGATGTCGGTAAAAAGGTCCATTGAGCAAAGTAATGCAAGCCTTTAGTTAATCCTCCTTAAGAATTCTTTGACGTAAACTTCTAATATTGTATGTTCTGATTGAACTTTCAACTTTTTTTGAAAAATTATTCTTGCATTTCGAATACTTATTAAAGAACAGTTGCTTAGAAGTACAACTGTGATGTTTGTCAAGACTTCTATAAAATTAAATAGATAGACAAGCCATGAAATTTACCCTACCGGCCACCTCGTTAATACGGTCAAATTTCATGGCCCGTTGGTGACCGTATTAACGGGGTTCACTGTAATACTGAGTTACAAGGCAAGTACCTCCATTTTTTTCTCCTCAATAAACGTACAAGAGGAAGAGTCTATGGAAAGCTCCTGGGAAAGCTATAACAATCAAAGCTGGTAAACAGAAAACTGAAACAAAATAAACGGTTTATTCGTGCCTTAACCTAGAATGTATGCTTTCTTTTGTTTTGGTCCTCTAAGCCTCGTAGCAAAATAACACGTTGTCCGGTCTCGCCTGTCGTCACGTCCGGTATTAGGGTTCAAATATCAAAGACAATAGAGGATAAGCTACAATAACTTTACAAACGCACGGAAAGATTCGTGATGAAATAACAATTGAACAGAAAAACACCGCTACAAAAGCAGTTGTGGAAAAACAAAAACAAACTAAAACAACACAAAACCAGGGAAGCAAAGAAGGGTTCCCAGCGTTTGCTCTCAGTAGTTTCTCGATCTTGCTAGNGGGGGGGGGGGGAACTCCCAGAAAAATTGGGCTGGGGTGTGCGGCCCGCTTTCTAAAGACTATTTATGCTCTGACCAAAAATTTCATTTCCGATTTCGAATGTATATGCTTTTATAAGGGAGGGTAGCTTCTTGCCCAATTCAAAACTAGCTAGAGTGCAAAAAACATCCCCTATTAGGACCAAAATGGACAAAATCGATACCTCATTTCTGACGAAAACTGCCAAAAAACGTACCATACTTTTTGGGGCCGTACATCCTTGTAACAACAACAATTTATTGGTATTCCCATATGGATGGTGTTACCTAAATACAGAATCGCTAAATAAAAATTCAAAAACGAAACAAATTACAACAGCAACCAGAAAGAAAAATAAACATAGTTAGTTACAAGATCGTAAACACTCTTTTTCCTTGGTCATCGTAGCTTTAGAAGAAACAAAACACAAACCGCGGTGATAAACATGGAACCAAAATGCGTTTTGGTTCCATGTTTATCACCGCGGTTTGTGTTTTGTTAGTTACAAGATTCTTCATTTTAGGTTCTAGGGTCACAAAGTTCTCTAATTTGTAGTGCTTCATATGTAAAGTAACCTAGTTTTTTACAAATAAAAGTGTCAGCATTGTTAAATAAAAATATTGTTTTCTCTGTGTTCAGTAAAGGAATCAAATTTTGGATATTTCTTGATGACGCCATTTGTGACTTGTTGTCTAATATTATTGTATCGGTCACAATGAAATAAGAAATGCATTTCATTCTCAATTTGGTTAGAACAGCAGTACTGACAAATTCTAAGAGTTTCAGGTAATTTATGACCCAGATAAAAGAGTGCCCTCCCCACTCCCCCACCCGCCCACCCCCGCACCAGGATCCAACTACATGCACAATATATTTCCGGCAAAACCTGAGGTGGTCAGGTGGCCAGCGTCGAAAGGAAAGTGAAAAAACCACCGCAAAACAAAACAATAAGAATTAAGGGGTAAAAACAGTCTCAAAGAAATGACGAAAACGGATTCGTCTTCCGTCCTTTCTCCTTCAGGTAGAGTTCAGTTCTGACAACTGATGTGTTCAAATGTAAACAAGAGTCGTTTGATGAGAATCGGAAATGCGAAAATACACCATCTGCATGCCACACGTATGTTTCGATATGTTGATAGTGCTCCATCGAAATTTAGTCGTAAAATCCCTAGATTTGTATTCTTTCTTTCGTTTACGTGTATAATATCGTTTGAAAATAATCTAGGTGTGGATTAGCGAAAGAAACCCATTTGACGTAACGCGCCAGAGTGCGTGTGCAGATCAGCTGATACTTGTCACGTTTTCGGAGTGGCTTTCACTCTCGAGTCTTCTGCCAAGTTGTTACAATGATTTTTTGCTCTTAAATCGCTCACAATTCTCTCAAATGCGACGAAGAACGTTTCTACAATGGATAAAATGTTCACAAACGTTTTCATTAAGCTTTAAAATGTGGTTTTTAAGGCGAAAAGCGCCATTTGCAACTAATATTTTCCGTCAACAACAATAGCTATTACGCACTCGAAAACACGTGTGCTTTCAACAGTCTTGCGTCAGATACCCACCCTTGGTTACCACAGTAACCCATGAATACTTATTGTTCGAACTGGCTTGTGATTGGTGCGGTCTGACGCAGAGGCTATTTTTGGCTTGCAAATTTCCCCTGCTGGAGTGTTTTTTACACGAATAAATTCGTGGCCAGCTTTCAATAAATAGCACGATCAGAGAAGGGCGAAGGATTGTGAAGTTCAGAACGTCTCAAGGAACGAAAGTAGTTCTGTCCCTTACCAAGCTGATATTGAAATTTTACAGTACCGTCCGGTTGAGTAGAAGCGAGAACGGAAGATAATTTTAAAGCGAAGCTTCAAAGTCTTACGAAAACGTTGCCAAGAAATAAAACGAAACACAACAAACATGAAGGACGAAGTTCGTTCCGCCATCAAGTTCCTCACCGAGGTTGTTTCAAGGAACTCTAAAGTCAATCAGGAACAGATTGAAACATTTAACGACACATTAGAACAGTTAATCATCGCGAGATTCGAGAACCACTGGCATCCGAACAAACCATTAAAAGGGAACGCATTTAGATGCATCAACATAGAGACGACAGGAATCGACCCCGTGTTACTAAAAGCGACGAAGGCAAGCGGAATTTCACCTTCAGTCTTGCTGGAGATTTTCCCAGGTGGACTTGCTTTGTGGATTGATCCTGGAGAAGTGTCCTGCAGAATAGGAAAAGGTTCTATCTGCCCACTTTATTGTAACACTCCTCAACAACCACCACAACAACAGCAACAGCAAGGTAGCAATCGTTCTCAAAGGCTCCTTCAGCCCGTCTATTTCAACGGGAGCTATCGTCAGTGTTCACAGTCGAGCTTCCAGCAGACGCTATTTCCACGGATCCAAAGTAACAAAGAAAACTTCGACCGATACCACTGGGTTAGTAAAGACTATACCAAACGACCTACAGAAGTGTTTTAATTGCTGTACACAATTTTCATTGACCGCATCTTTGTAAACGACCGTAGGACTCGAAATATCTTTAAGATTTTCCTCCACGCACACGAATGTTTAAAGTTTTAATATAGTAAAATGTTTTAAGGTTCCTTGTACATAGACATACGTTTTCTATGTACAGAATTGATATTATTAAATGGAAGAATTTTTACTAATGTATTAATTTTTGCCAAATAGCTGGGAATGGCTTAATTTAATTTGTAAATTTGTACATGTACAATTGTGAAATAGTATTTGGAAGCTTCCAAAGGAGCGAAATTGTGTAAAGATTACTATTATATTGTTTCAAAATTTTGTACAAATGCAAGTTTAATATTTTATCGTTAATAAAAATATTGTGGCATAGTGAGGATTTTACACTTTGAAATGTTTTTTTGAGTGAATGTGGGTTGAAATGTAATGCAACAACTTTATGACATCAGACCACTGTCTATGTGAACATGTCATGTCTTTTCTTTGTTGCCGAGGCAAAATAGCGGCAGCCAATTTTAACGCAACTGACCATTATTGCTCAATTTGATGGCAGTCTTTTTTTCTTTTTTTGCTCTCTCACCTGTCGGAAATTACAGCTCTGTGTCTCATCTCTACAGTGTCTGGTTATGTCTGTGGACAATATTTTATTCTGGCTGAACAAAGAAGCAAAAATGGCTAAAATTGGATGTGACAAATGTTAAAATGAAAGCACAGCTGTTTCAGGCCTGAAAATGAATGAGGTTATGTTTCTTTTGCCCATCAAAATATCAATCAAGGCCAACCAAACCCATGAAAAACTAAAGGCATAACTTGAAAAATTGAAAACAAATGTTTGATTCTCTGAGGTTTTTGTGGCAAACTTGAATTACAAATTTCCCATTTTTTGGTATGATTCATTACTCATGTATGTTCCTTGTTATTCTATGCAGTAAATAATTGAGAGGAGTTTTACCATTTCCAAGAAATGTATAAGAATTAAGGTCTGGCTAGGCAGACATGAATACTACAAATTGAAGTAACCAAACCTTCAAGTAAATTTTGATTGGGACAGAGACTGCCCTAGAGTGTTCAGACAGTGACTTACTCTTGTCTATTTGCTATTCTCTTACATATTTATTGAAGCTTTCTATTCTCTTTATTCTTGAAATCATGCATTACTACATTTCATGTTGGCTAAGCAAAAGAGGGATTGCTCACAGTGTAAAGAGGTCTATTCTGTGTGACTCAAGTAAAGTCTACATATAAGGTTTTAATTGACTAACAAACAGATTCTACCTGGGAGTAGTTCAGGCTCTCACCTCCCCTTAATGGAGGAAGACTGGGCCCATTCTTGTACACCTCTACCAGTGCTTCTCCTTTGGACCACCTTTGAATCTGCACTACTGTTTATCTACTGTTTATGGCACCACTTACATGGTCTTACCACATTTCATACGTAACGACAGCAAGACTTCTACAAGTACTTGTCTAGTAATTTGTGTTACAACAACTCAGCTAATTTATAGGTTGATCAAACACTGAAAGCATCTCAAACCAGTCTTTGAGCAAGACTTAATGAATAAAGGCTAGAAGCCAGAAACCAAATGCCATGCATATTCCTAGCATGACTTGGTTGATGCTGTGTGATGATCCTGAGTTGCAGTTGTCTCCAGTGCAGCAGTTTTCTATTTCGGTGGTTTCCCATTGGCCAGGCGACGTGGGGCATTTGGGCAAATCTTGTGGACTGGCTCCACAGCTCGACAAATTTGGGGCATTACATCTCTTGTAGTAGATCGTTGTCTTGGTACTGCCCTGAGTGCACTTAAATGTACCTGTGAGACATTTTAATGTTCCTGATGGGCATGTTATTGACTCCATCTTTGACTTGCAGTCTTTGGCGGAATCTTCGCTGGTGCATTTGTAACAGCTCAGAGAATCTACGTAGGAAATGACATAACATTAATTCTAGTCAGAGAGGGCTTTTCATCTTCTACCATGGGGGCAGAAGGGAGAAACTGTCTCCTTCTCTGTAGCTTCAAGAATAATGAACATGGAGTAGAGTATGTATGAGTTAGGTTTGAGGTTTGACACATGAGTTTATGACATCAAGCTAAATGGTGCCCCAACAGCCACCATCTTGGGACCACTTTCTTGGATAGTTTTCTTGAGAGTAAAAGAAAGTCAGAAAACCATCTAGGACTACCCAAAAATAATCAAGATCAATAAAACAATGCCTAAAATGAAAAACACTAGAAGTCTGCTCAACAAACTGAACAGTCAACTAGAAAAGAATGGCGTAACCACTTTGCAACAGTGCTTAACAGGGATCCACCTGTAGATCCCCCGAGCTACAAGTTAACCACCAATTACCGATCAACACCGGCAACATCACGAAAGAAGAGATTAAACGGGCACTGACAAGACTAAAGAACGGAAAAGCTGCGGGATCAGATAACATTCCACCAGAAGCCGTAAAGGCAGGCGGACAAACGTCCATCGATATACTATATGATCTGTTCAATACTATCTGCACAACCGAAGAGATTCCGGAAGACTGGCTAGATGGACTACTAGTAAAACTGCCAGAAAAGGCAGACACTAGCTATTGCAAAAATTGGAGAGGAATCACTCTGCTGTCCATCCCCAGTAAAGTGCTTACAGTATTATGCTCGAAAGAATGAAGGTGCATGTAGATGGAAGACTGCGTGAAGAACAGGCAGGATTTAGAAATGGAAGGTCCTGCGCAGACCAAATTGCGACTGGGTGACTGGGTGACTAAAACAGCATTCAACAGACCAAGGGGAAGTCGGTGGGAGATGATCCAGAGACTACAGGACCTAGACTTTGTTGATGACATCTGCATGTTATCGCATAGGCTACAGGATGCCAACAATCAAATGGAACGACTGAACACCACAGCACAAATAGTAGGCCTTAAGATCCATCCTGGTAAAACTAAAGTGCTGCGGATCAATGCCATTCAACAAGGAGAGGTTCGTCTCGATCAGTCGTACATTGAAGAGGTTGAAGAGTTTACCTACCACGGTAGCGTGATGAATAAGACTGGAGGAACGGATGAAGACATAGCAGCAAGAAGAAAGAAAGCGCAGCAAGCTTTTGCCATGCTTACACCAGTCTGGAGAAGCAAAGACCTGCGCACAGCTACCAAAATTAGAANGAACTTTGTAGACTTCGAAAAAGCTTTTCATAGCATTGACCACCAAGTGCTATGGGCACTGCTTCGACACTATGGGCTACCAGAGAAATTCATCAGAATGATTCAACTTTTCTACAAAATTTCAGATGCCAAGTAATCCATGGGGGAACCCTTACAGAGCCATTTAGAGAGACAACAGGCATAAGACAGGGCTGCTTACTGTCCCCTCTGCTATTCTTAGTGGTTTTAGACTGGATGACTAAAACAGCATTCAACAGACCAAGGGGAATTCAGTGGAAGATGATCCAGAGACTAGAGGACCTAGACTTTGCTGACGACATCTGCATGTTATCGCATAGACTTCAGGATGCCAACAATCAAATGGAATGACTGAACACCACAGCACAAAGAGTAGGCCTGGTAAAACTAAAGTGATGTGAATCAATACCATTCAACTAGGAGAGGTTTGTCTCGATCAGTCGTACATTGCAGAGGTTGAAGAGTTTACCTACCTCGGTAGCATGATGAATAAGACTGGAGGAACAGATGAAGACATAGCAGCAAGAAGAAAGAAAGCACAGCAAGCTTTTGCCATGCTTACACCAGTCTGGAGAAGCAAAGACCTGCGCACAGCTACCAAAATTAGAATTTTCAACACCAATGTTAAGGCAGTTTTACTGTACAGTTCAGAGACATGGCGAGTGACGACAGCTTCTACAAAGCAAGTACAAACATTCATCAACAAGTTTCTGAGGAGAATTCTGAGAGTATATTGGCCTGAGGTGATTTCCAACAAAGATTTATGGATAAGAACTGGACAAGAGCCTATTGTTACCACCATAAAGAGAAGACGCTGGAAATGGATTGGTCATACACTAAGGAAGGGTGAGAGAAACATAGCGCGTCATGTGATGGATTGGAATCCCCAAGGAACACGGAAACGTGGCAGACCCAGAATTACATGGTGCCGAAGCATACAGAAGGACCTGAGGGAGAACAACATGACCTGGTGCGAAGCCAAAAGAGCAGCTCAGGACCAACAGAAATGGATAGCAATTGTGGACACCCTATGTCCCCCATGGGACAAAGAGGACTAGATGATCCTATAGTTTTATGATCGCAGGCTCGCTGAGGACGAAAGCTAAAGGAATCTGCGTGCATATTTTATGGCATCAACATGAGCACAGAAAGGGAAACTGACAGTGAATTTTCTCACATTTCCTGCAGCACTGCCTGTTTTGTGCTTAGACTCACAAGAATTGAAATGCTTGTCACAATGTACATGTGAGTACCTAGCTTAAGTGGAAATGCCCCAGAGACAGCAAGCATTCTCAAGATGATACAACCTACTTATAAACAGAAAGGCAAGAGGCTGATGATCTAAGGATCACCTCATGCAGAAATTGATCTAAGTCTACTATGCAATTTAGCAAATGTAAGAGAGAGATTTGAACCCTCTACACGTAGGTAAAATAAACAGTTTCAAATATTAAACATACTTAACAGAAGAAGCTCGACTCTTGACTGATCCTTGTTGTGAGGCCCTGGAGCTTGGTCTCTGTTTGGGCGCTGGTCGATGTGCAAACTGCACAGCTACAGCAGTACTTTGAGAGCCAATTATAGCTGGCTTCTTAACCGGAACGTCCTCAGGCTGAGGGGATGTTCGTGAAGTGTTGGGACTTCTTGAGTGTGCTGACCGTGGTTTTGCTGCTGATTTCTTGAGAAAAACAAATCCATACAGACTTACAAATCCACTTATCTACTTACTCTGACAGCTTTGCTCATTTCATATCATTAATGGAGTTACAAGAACTTCTTAGAAAATAACTCAGATTACATAAATTAATTTGTAATGGATAATTATGTAAAGTATGAATTCTGACTAATTCTAGGTGGAGGTGGTGTGGCCTAGTGGTTAGGGTGCTGGATTTGTAATCCCAAGTTCAAATCCTACTCCCTGCCACTAGATGGATTTGTGTTTGGTGGTCCCAGATTCAACTCCTCCACACTTTGTAAATAGCCAACTGGTCAGCCTCTCACTAGCTGGGATTTTTAACAAGTTTCTGTTTAATTTCCAATATTTGTTTGCTTATTTCAGTGTCTTCTTCTTCTTCTTCTTCTTCTTCTTCTTCTTCCTGGGCGACTCACCTCGATTAGTACAGTAGTGCTACACACTTCAACACTTAAATTAAGTGATTTATTATTATTTTTCTAATTCTAGTGAACACTTGGCAGATTACTGATAATTTTACAATGTATATGTATATGTAAACATTTCCTTTCAATTCACTGAGCAAGTTTCTAGACTAAATTAACATAAGTCTCAGTTTATAGGTGATATTTTTCTGATTATTTTTTGAAGGCAAGCAGATATGACAGAAATGCCGCATAATGAGCATGTGACGAGGATAGGGTAAAATCTGACAAGTAAGACAAACTGAAAATTTCAGTGTTAAAGGGAGCAAGAGACAAGTATATTGTACATATGTACAATTGGAACAAGAAGAGTATAATTGTGTGGTCCATTCAAACTCTGCTAAATTATCTGGGAGTCTCCTGGATACAGATCAAAATAATTCTCTGTTACTGGTCACCAAATCTCCCGCATATGAAGAAATGCACTTAAAATACATTTTCACTTCTTTTGGCTGATTTTATATGTTTTTAGCAGGGGGTGGGGGATGCGGAGAAGGTTTGGATCTTTGACATATTTAGTGGTTGAATTGGTGGAGTTCTAATTTTAACAACATTCTTGGAGGGTTGAGAAGGTGCAAATTATTGGCAACTCCTGGATTTCAATTTTTTTCAATATTATGCATTGTGAAGTGTTTCTAACTATTAGTAATTCTCCCTTGTCTCATATCATAAAATTAAGGAAAATAACAATCAAATTGGTTGAGAAAATTTCACACACATACTATCTACTTAAGCTTATGTACACATGTACAACTATAAAATTTGTTTATGATAATAAATATTTACCTTATCTTTTTGCTTCGCTGTCGAACTATTTTCTTCTCCAAGTCCTTTTCCATACATTACAACATTCAACTCCACTTTTGAACGGATAGAAGCCACGCCAGTCGATCGAGAAATCATGTCCGAAGTCTTGCGATCAACACCATCAGAGCCTTGCAGGTCAGCTTCTTGAGCTGTTTTTGTGACAATCTCAGAGTCTGGCGTTATTGTTCTTAACTCTGAACCTAAATCGATGGATGGGCTTGGTGGAGGGATTTCTCCGTCCGAATCATTATTTTCTGCATCGATATTCTTGGTCGTTTTTCGTTTGCTTTTCGATGTTTTCTTCGCTGGCTGGCGTTTTGTAGGTTGGCTTCTCTGCGCCAGTGAAGTTTTTGAGCTGCTTTCAAGCAGCTTCGACTTTTCATCGCTATTCAAGCCAACAAATTCACTCTTTGATTGTCTAGTTAGGTTCTGAAGCTCTTGCTTTATACGCAGTTCCTCTCTCTTAAATGATTTTCCCCCAAATGACATCTTTAGTATCTCACTGTTGAAGCTGCTGTGGTCGACTCTTGTGTTGTTTGCATACTGTAGTTTTTGACGCTGAATTCTCCATCTTCTGCCACCATATTTAAGCCAAAGTTAAAACCGTGTGCATTAGCTTGCCACAGTCAAATTGTCGTCAGAGCTTGTTCATTCTGCAGGTCACGACGATGGAGAAACTTTCGACTTTGGATCGGAGAAATGCGTGGTTCAGACGCCATCTTTGTTTAGATCTTGTTGCCTTGGACCCAGTTCCTCGAAAACTTACGAGCGGCGGTCTTCAATAACCCCACTAGGGGAGAGGATTGGAGGGGACAGGGTAAAATTTCCTTCTTCCCGCTTTTCTAAGAAATCCTTAACCGAAATCGAAAGTAAAAGGAGATTTCACATACCCTTCCTCCTTTTCTAGGAAAACGCTGAGGCGATATCAAAAGGTCAACTAGTTTAGTAGCGTGACAAAAGAAAACCACGTCATTGCGTAAAAATTGCTAAGACAGGCCATTTCTTCGACAACTTCGTAGAGGACAGAGGCACTAAAAGCCACCTGTGTTGGTAAGTACTGAAATGGTAGCATTTACAGGGAAAATTTGTAATTCTTACAAGTTAACTTTACGGTTTAGTTTATATCAATCGTATTAACCAGTGTTAATCTTCAAGATAAGGTGGAGTTGCCTTGCCAAAGTTTTGAACAGCTATGTTAAATGTTTACATTATAGCAGTAAGATGCTAAGAGGGGAGTTCGAGTACTGATGACTAACGCGGATGATCTGATAGTAAACTTGGCCTTTATCGCCGAGTAACTGAAGCCAGTTAACTAAAAGAAGCCGCTCTTTAGGTTAAAATTCACAGAAATCGAAACAAAGCTTATAAAAAAAATGTCAGACTTTCTTTACTGTGAATGTATCAATCAAGTAATTCCAATTCGCAAAACAGGCGGTTTGCATCTGCCAAAAACTATTCGATTCAACAAAAACTCTCCATCTAAAAACTGTTACGATATGGTTGATGTTTTTTTCGATACTTGCCAGAACTTGTTTTAGTAAACTCGAGCAAAGATCTACATTTTAATTGATGACTGTATCAAAGTTTCCTGTTTTCAATAAATGGTATGCATTCCTCAAATTTCAGTTACTTGTCTTTGGAAGGTACATTTGTTTTTAGCGTGCAAAAGGCATATTTCACAGCTCTTAGTATGCGTTTTTTTTCCTCTTGCATCGAGTAGTTATAACTAAACTCTACAAAATTCTGCCAACACTGGAAATTGCATCTGACTTTCAGCAGTTATTGTGACGTCAATGTGGAAATAATCGTCAACAACTCGAAACTAGAAAGAAAAGGTCGTTATTGTTAAATAATACGAAAAAAACAACATCACGTCTGTCATGGGATATTAGTGGCTTTTTTCATACTACGGGCAACTGTGATTCGTGAAAGCAGTGTAAAACATTATTTCTCTTCGGTTTTGTGGTCGAAAGCAAAGCAATTTACAAAAAAATGTTTCTTACATCCGCACCGAAACCAAAAATACAAAGAAAGAATTTAAAGCTGGTATTCAGGTGACTCAAGAACTACTGACTAAAAGATTCAAAGAATTTTGCACCAAGAATGACTTATTTTTGTAATTAGCAAAGTTTGTTAAAAGTAGCATTGCGTCTACACATGAATGATGTTGCACCACGCTCTAACATTTAATACTTCTGATTCTCTCCTGTTTCAAACAATCTTAGCATTTTTGATTGAGTAGAAAGATAACTTATCTTGCGGAAAGCACTGGCAGCTCTAAATTTAACTTTGTAGACACACTGCATAAAGCACTGGCAGATCTAAATTTAACTTTGTAGACAGTATCCTTACCGCCGTCAATTTCTGTCGAATGAATTCTTCAACCTTTTCCGCATTTTACACACGCTAATCAGATATTTGCACAAGTAGGAAAATTGGTTATTTTTCTTGGCCCATTTTAAGTCGTTTGAAATATACTTTGGCGAGGGTTCGAATTATCGGGAGTCACTATTATTAATCTACTATTTCTTTAACTTTTGCAATTTTATTTTTGCAGGACCCCACTGAAAACCACATCTATGTGAAGTGGGCTCCCTGTTGAAAGATCTTTATTATTACTTTTAACTCTAATAGAGGCCCACTCGAAAGATCAATTCTCTCAACGGGTCACTATGATTTTACTATCCAGTTAGTTATGAGAATCTGGGCGAACATCAAAACAGCATCTCCAAGTCGACGTTTTTTTCCCCTCATAACCTTTTCTTGAAAAGCTGTGTTGTTTACTGCAAAGAGTAACTACGTGTTGATCTCACCCAGCTTACTTGCGGCTGATTGGCCCCTTCTCGTATGACGTCATATAGTCACGTGGCTTATTTGTCAGAACCGTGAGTCCCTGACCCCCTGCGCTGTGTAAACATATCTCGGAAGCGTAGGTCGGTTGGGGACCGAAACACCACGATTTTTAGAGGGAGAGAACAAGGTTAATTCAGTGCTGTTTTCAACACATGGTTTGACAATGAAGGTAAGACAGTGAATTTGCTTGATGAAAATGACAGCCAGTTGAATACGTCGCTTGTTTCTTGATCCGATTATCAAAAAATCACTACGACGCTAGCTAGGTTACTGCACAAAAAGGCGGTCCATCGCCCCTGGTCTCTGCCCAAGCCTATTGACTTTTACAGGCAACTCTGCAAATCAGTAACTCACTGAGGTAGCATCTAGTAGATAAATTAACCCAGCTATCGGCATCTTTCGCTGGCAACAAGTGTCAACCGTGCCTTCTGCAGGCTAGTCAAATAAAAGCCACCCTTTTAATACGCAATTAATGCTGATTGAAAGCGCCGCCTGAAGCATCCTGTACGTCTGAAAGTGACTGAAACTAACTAGATCGAAACAACTCTCAATGATACAGCCTGATGAGAGACGGAGCCAGAGAGATGGAGCTGGAAAGAGAGCTAAGGTGCTGCTTAATTTTAGTAAGTATACAATTAGCAGTCAGTACCGCGGGTCTCAAAGCGTCGCTTGCGTTTTTCTAGCCAGAGCTCCATTGAGGACTCTCGTATTAACGTATTGCATTGCGAGCTATACTGATCAGGCGCAGCTCCGCCAAAAATAAAGTGAGAGCACTCAATCTAAAATAAGATACAGCTACATATGCGTATATATAGTCAACTACAGTTTAGTATTGGCGCAGACTGCAGGCTTCTGGGGTACTCAAACACTTCCGCTGAACTTACACTGAACACTAGCACCTTTGTAATAACTATACTCGAACGTCGCAGCAGACAGGGTTGTTAAACTCGATGATAAACGTAAATAAAATACAATTTTACAGCTTTATTAAATGACGATCTTCAGTTAGAATCGCGCAATGTGCTAATGGAAATTAATCTGAAAAAAGCTCGAAGCAGTTTTGATGGCAATGGTGTCATCAGAGTTGCGTGTTTTCAGATGTGAATCAGTGTTTTGGATACTTAATTAGTTGGATAATTTCCTGCTCATCTTCTGACTACATCAACTGTACTGGAGCAGAATGGACTAGATCTGGATGCGTTTGTCTTGTTGTGCTTGTATGGAGCCTTATAGTATTCCTTTATCATCAGCAAAGTTTTGTTCCCTAGGCTAGGTTTTAACTGATTAAATGGAAGAGAGGAAGGTCGCATTTCTGTTTGGTCTTTGGAGCCCAATGGATAATCATCAGTCTTTTTGAGATTGTGACAGCTGTTCAGTTCAAGGAAAACTAAGATTCAGGATGAAGATCTAAAGAAGCCGTAAACGCACTGGCTACTTAACCAATTTGCTGAGAAGAGAGGACAACTCCGCACTCTGGTCGACATCTTGAAGGCTAACATCTACTGCCCCAACACACCTCGACTGCAAATCATATTTATCGGTTCGTTTAGTTCCCACATCTATTTTAGAATGTACAAGTTTATTTTGAACTCCACTAACTTATAAACAGTTAACAACGTTTTAAATATTTATCCTAATCAGGCAACAAACAAACTGCATATCTGTATAACAATCACAAAATTGTACTTGGCTTAGCACTATCACAACTTCCAAAGAAATGATTAAGCTTAAACTCAGTGTTCATCAGGTTTTGCATGTGTAAGCCTTTCCGTGATGCCACTGAGTTGAAATCACCTCAGTCGTGCACTCTTATCCCCGCAATATTTTCATTTTCAAAGCTCATTGATACACTGTATGTATTTTGTTGGAGCATTTCCATCTTTAAGGCATAATTCTGATCATTTGAAGTCGTAAACAACGGCTGTAGAGTGAGCATCCACCCCATGTATAACTCAATAGTGGGCTTTGCACTGAAGCCCTTAATTAATTGGAAATGGCGATATGGAATGTCCATTCGTTACTACTAGGTACAAACTATTCTTTCTCCGGATTTTTCTCTCTCAAACTTCATCCGTCGAACCTGGAATGTGTTTTTCAACTGTGGAAATTTAAGCTATTCCATATATTAGCTGTGTCGGACACGGTCAATACTTCAAGTCGGTTTTCAAAAAGCAGTGGTGGAGATCATTTGGAGAACTAATGGAGTGTTTGCAAGTTAAACACGCTTAATTTACACAAGAGTCTGGTATTTCGTATCGCTTGATTTTAATCAGTCATTTAGGCGAGGCAGGAACGCTTTACTCATAAATAAGCTATATCTCAAGCAATGTAAATTGAATAGTCCTGCAATTAAAACTTTTAAGCTGATTATATTCATATGGTACAGATGGAGTAATTGTTTACCTGTATCGCCAAAAGCTACCTTAAATTACAAAAACTACTAGTCCATTTTTCTCAATTTTATCCCTGCCATCCAAAAGTGCATTTGTGTTTGTAATTTCTACTTATAATATTAAACTATTATGACATAGTAAGTAGGTATTGTTTTGTGAAAATGCTTGTGAGACATCAGGCTCCACCGAGTTTCGAACCCACATTGCAAATGGACCAAACCTTGTCATGTTTCGTCAGTTTTGTACTTTCAGAGGGAAAAGCTGGTGTGTACAAATCAGTCTCAAGCCCTTGTAAGTAAGAATTTTCAAGTGTGCCCCAAAAAATTCCAAAAATAGTTTTCAAAATATTATTCCAGTCCAAGAAGATTTTGTGCACACATTATTCGAATCTCTTTTAGATTTTTAATCTCCCTAACTACTCTAGTTTTCTCCACTCTAGCAATATAAAAATGTTTTGTACTTAAAATTGATTTTTTTTGGCGATCCTTTGCTCAATGCTATTCTTCCGGTGAAGGAGTCATGAAAAGCCGCTTTAAAGATGAAACCATTTTCTACTCTGCCTTATTTCACAACAAAGCCTTCTTCTTGAATTTTTAGATTCTCCGGCGAGTAAAAATTAAAAGGAATGAATTGAAAACATTCTATTCCGCTTTGTTCGTGTCATGGAAAGTATTTCTTCCGAGGAACGAGGTTCTTGTTTATTTCAGTGCAAAGCCCTTTTCCAAAAGAAACATTTTATGTGTTATTTATTCCGTTTCAAAATTTGCATTTGCTTTGTTCAAATATTTTTCCTTTGTACTGCTTCAACCGTTCCGGACTGTTGCCGAGTTTCTTATACAGAATGGTTTGTTTTCAATCCTAGTTATACAGTTTTTTCTACGTCTTAAAATATTGTGTTACTTACATGTTTGTTCTCAAAGCAAAAGAAAAATATATGTAGATATTCCTCTATCTTTCCTCGGAAGGCTTTTTGCCATGTCGAAGTTATTCAGGGGTTGATTTACAATAAAAAATTTCAATATGGAAACATTTTTTCCATTATATTATCGATTTATAACAAAAGAAGTCCAATTTTTCTAGAACATCTACGGGTCAGTCCAATACGCGGTCACGTGGTCTTAAAACTTCCTGTGTTCCAGACTCCCATTAGTACATGAAAGGAGAATTTTGCATTTCATCGCCTATGATTTTCGGGAAAAAGCAGCACTCCTGCCTTTTTCAGCCGATATCGAAAGAATATATAAATATTGGTAACGAATTTAACCAAATAAACGGTAGATATTCCCTGTTTTGTGATTAATCTTAGAACTGGCACGGTTTACGGACGCTGGTGGAAATTGTGCTTTCTGGTTCTTCGCTCCGTTACAGTGCACTGCTATATCAGACTCAACGCTGTAACGGGGTCAAGGGTCACTGTTTTCGTCATTGTGTTATTCACTTTCAAGTTAGCAAAGGAATGAAAAATTGTCTGATTTAAGGTCCAACGAGGAAGTTATAACTGCTCCTGTAAGCTTGGGCACATGATCACGCTAAGCGCGGGAAAGCAAAGTTTTCCACACAGAAAAATATGGCGAGTCAGGGTATAACTCATGGCTAGGAGCAAGAAAGTTTGTCAAGGTTGGTGAAATCGATGTGTTTTGTGCTTTTTTCCAGACCCAGGCAGGTGTAATACGTTTACAGTGAAAAGTCTTCCTGGTGTAACCGAATAAATTTTACAAGACGTCATGAACAACTCTAATCGGTCTAAGTCTGTGTTCCATTAAAGAGACGTTTTTTGTTTAAAATGATGTAAGTAAGGTTGCCAGGAAAAAAAAACTATTTAGGAATACCTCACCAGAGAATAGCTACAATAAATGAAAAGAGATTAAGATATGAGAAACGGAATTCTAATTAAGATTCAGAACTCGGTCATCGTACAACTTATAAAGAGCCTCTTGAAAGTGTAAGATTTGAGCTTTATTATTTCACCTATAGACCTATCCTCACAAATAACCTGACGACGTCGTTTGCTGACTACAATTAAAGTCTGTAAGGCGCGTTTAAGTTGATATTAAACTCGAAACTTGCTGTACATCAGCTGCGATGATGCGCGCTTTCGCTTTCATTTAGTTGACCATTGGAACCATAGTAAACAACAAAACTCGAAGACACTTCTAAAAGAGAATTAGTTTTCTTGGAAAGCGTTTCCGTTATTAACCGCTGGATAACAGCAACGGCAAACCACCATATAACCAAAATAAAAGAAAGTGTTGACAAAACGCAGCGAAGATTTATGGGATAGATCAGGTTAGGACGCGTCACAGCTGAACTCACGCGAGTGTATCTTAACAAGGTTCCAAAACACCCATCTTGTTGCGAACTCGCAAAAAAGGTCTGGATTTTCACAATTGAATAGAAAATATATCGATTCTCTGGGAAGAACAGCGCTATCGTCTCAATGGTAATAGTAAAGGTAAGTCTTCTTGCAAAAGCGAGTCCATGAAGAACGCGCTCGAAGCGGCGATCGATGAACTCATTTGAGCAATTTTAGCTTCGATGCATTTAACTACAAGGCCTTACGGGCCTTAGATTAAGACACTGCAGTCCTTATTGCAGTACCGCACAAAGACAGATTGAAAGAGCCCGATTTGTTTCTTTTTAACTGGTTTTAATTGTTCTAAAATGGACATTAAGGTATCGGTGAAACGTTCTAAATGAGTTTGCCGAAGACTGACTAATTTGCTTGGTACAGCTAGATGCCCGCGCGGACTTCACTCGACATCACATCTGAAGCTTGTATAATTATGCTACTTAACCCCAACTGAGTAAACTACAAAAAGGTGCTGTCTCATAGACGTTCAATATCGTTGCGTAATGACAGTTCTGTAGGTGCGTTCGCTGCCACTGTCAAGACGAAGGTGTTCTCTAACCCACAAAGAGTTTCATACAGTTAGAATCCTTGAAAGTGAATTTTGGTGAGCTAAACAGCCCCCTTTTGCAGGCAGGCAAATGAATTTCGCTTAATTTCTGGACGTATTTCTCGGACGTAGCGATGTTTTTCAAATACTGACATGCAAACTCAATTGAGTATATTGCACTCCAAAGTCCGCAGATAAGTTGTCCGTGCTAAACGAAATATGGAAACAATTCTCACTGTTGCTCAATATAAGGTCAAGATAAATGTGTTACCAGCCGTAAATGCTACAAACCGATGGCAAGGCATTGGGTTTACTCAACCGCTAATATGCTCAGGGATGGAAAACAAGGTATATATGTGCAGAACAGCGTCTATCCACTCTTTATGTATGTATGGATCGGTTCACGTGCACGCCCTCGACCCTCCTCGAGCAAAACCGGATGGCCAGTGAGTCTTTGTTGCACAGCAGAACTGACCTATTGTGTGGCTTAAACCAAGAAACCAGCTGGCTTTTCCAAATATTTTGTATCATAAGCAACATCGTTTTAAATTATAAGGAATATATAATCTCAAAGTTGTATGTAGGATCAACTGTGGAGATTTTTGCAAAGATCGTGCGTCGTGTGATGAAACTGGGGGGTTTGTGCTTTGTATCGATTGGTAAACAAAGATGATCAATCCTTTTAGTGAAGGAAGACAGCTGAGCATGTGAGAAACTACTGTCCACTGGTGTTGTGGATTTCCTATTTATAATGAGTTATTATTGTCTGACTTGAGTGTTTCAGCTTGAAGATATTAGTAACCAACGTAACATTAGAGTCGCGTTTCGTCCTTGCTTAACTCAAACGAAATGCTCAACAAAATATTGGAAACCATTCGTCGGTTTGGTGCACGAGCCACACATTTTACCTCAAAAGGCGCCCATCTAGGCAAAGACACGTCTCTTCAGATTTAACCTGATGTGGACTGATTGACAAGGTTAGTTTGCCGTAATCCTTCAGGTAAACTTGAGTAAGTTACGAAGCTCAACCCATTGTGATATCAGTCTGTGATGGTCCCAGTTGGTTTATTCGATTATAGCTAAGCAGGCTCAAGCTTTCTTCATTCACTCTATGGTGGTCAAAAATTAATACTTTAAATTTGACAGGGAAAGATTAAACCGTCGATTTCTGTCAGGTAATAAACTCATAGCCTGGGAATTGGTCTAATTTGTCCTGCTTAACCGAGAGCTGTTGAGTCATTGACTGTTTGATCATCGACTGCCAAGTTTCAGTGACACATATTCAGTAAAACCATATGTATTTATTACCAATGCAGTTAACTGTTTAGTGGCAATTAGCTGAGAATAAAAGAAAGCTGGTTTAAACAGCTGGAAATTTTAGGGTATTTTAAAGCAAGGGTTTTTGGAGCAGAAAAACAGTGGCCATGCAACGGGTATTGTAGTTGTATTCAAGCGGTTGCCTCGGATGTGATCTCATTCAAACTGTATTCATAGCACTCGCCAAAGACAAGTGCAAAATTGTCTTATTCGCCTCTGAAAGGCGTCAGAAGAAGAGAAAATAAGTATTCAGTGTGTTAATACTCTTTTTTGTGAGCTAAACCATCTACAAAAAGGCACCAATTTCTAAAATATGTCTAGAAATTACTTCACGAAGGTCAGCATGCAACATGCAACATGTCCACCATCTTGTTTCACTACGTTTTAAACCTTAAATAAACCTTAAATAAAAAAAAAACCAGTGTTCAGAATGCAATTTTTTTTAATTTCACTATCTGATGGCAGTCAAGTTACACTAAAATCCATCAACTGATTTCTATAATGAGAGTGAGTGTAAGCTAACCCTTTGGTGTGTACTACTTAATACAGAGAATTTGAACTGAACTGAGATTGGTTCAGGTTAAACAGCATAAATCGTAAATATGTCTGCTTTGTCTGGCTCTAGTGTGTAATATAAATGCTACTTCTCAGTTAAGGCTGACTTCTGTGAGAGGACCTACTCCGAAACTTGATGTTTTAGCTCTGCAAGGGAAAGCAATTGTGGAGATACGTGGAGATCCACTTAGGTACTTGTAGCAATTCCTTCTTCGCCATTTTTTAATCAAACAGTAAATTGTACTGCTATCTCGTTGGCGGTATACATGTTGTTGCGTTCAAATCCAAATCACTAGCTACATCATTGTCTTGGATGAAATATAACCAGTGTCGAATTTATTTTCATCCACATTGTGTAAGCCTCGAGGCCCATGCATATGTACCCAGTTTCAACAGACTGCCCACTGAATGTATCATCGAACAACATTAATGGTTCATTATGAAGTTTGGTCTTTTTACTGAGAAGTAGTCCATCTTTGTTAACAGTTAGATTTGACTTTTTGTAAGGCAGGAATTAAATTTCTTAAGTTTTGGTATAGATCAAAAAGCTATCTCATAGTTTATTGACATCACCAAAAGTATCATTTGAGTTTTCTTTGCATTTGTTGTTTTGAAGCAGCCATGACCTCAAAACTTGAAAGTTCTGCCAAATTTAATTCATTGTTTAAAAAAAGGACGTTCACAATACTTTATTTATTGAGACTTGTAGAATTAAAATCAAGTTCTTTTTATAACTGCTGGACAACAGCTTTTTATAGCAGCTAGACATTCTTGTCATTATTCTGAAGTTTGGGTTGTTAAGATTTTGTACATTCAGCTTTGAATAATACTGGACAAGTGACTGCATTTGTCTGTCGTACGAATTTCATGGTACATTTCAAATTTTCACTTTAAAAAGTATCGTTTATGGCTCTTTTACTACAAGTGATTTCTGAAGCCGCTAAGATTCTGTAGTCACATGAAACTTCTTGTGATTTGAATGTAGAATACCATTTCGATTATTTACAAGTTATTAGGTATGTCTCAGCTTGGATTGAAAGATTTGTTCAAGGAAATCTCATTGAAAAGCTGAAAAAAACCTGTTAGTATTCTGAATTTGAATAGTTTGCAGACTTTGGACTTGAAAAATAAAAATGGGCCAGTGACTGCCTCTAGATCTCTCCAGATATGTCGTGGTGTATCCAAATTATTTTAAAAAAGTCATTAAGCTGGGTTACTGTTGATTCTTGAAGCAGTTACTCTACTACTGGTGACCCACGAAGTTTACATCCGCTTGATTTTATATTTAGAATATCCATTCGGATTATTTGGAGTATAGGGACGTTCAAGTTTTGCTTTAAAATTTGAAGCCAGTACAGATGGAATCGAGCTCTTAGCTTACACAGCTAGAAAACCTTGTGAGTATTTTGAAGGTGGGCTTTTAAGATTTTGTGATGACTTTCACAAATTAAACTGTCCAAGTAATCGATGACTGCGTGGAGTTCTCTGGAGATTTCTCCCGGAGCATTCACATTGTTTGGTTCTTAAAGAATCATTTATTTGTGTTACTGATAATTCTTGATGCAGCTGCCATTTTGCAGTTTGGAACGGCCTGAATTGAGGTTTAAATAGATATTGTTTGCAATTTAGAGATGCTCAAACTCTTGTTCTCCGCACTTTTACACGAAAAATTATTCCAGTGAATACTGGACGAGACACTGCTTTTAGCTCTCTCCAGATATCTCGTGGTACAGGCTAAGCACATCATTTAAATACGTTTGTGTTGTTTAAGTACTAGCGATTGGTGAAAAGGCTGTGATTCTAAAATACCTTTTTCAATTATTTGCTATTTAGGGACTTTCAAACTTGGTCAGTAAAATCTTAATTTATGGAAACGAGCCCAGGTGAAATCAAGTTTTTCTTTTTAATTAACAGCTGTAACAGCATTTTAAAGTCAATGTGTTTAAGATTTTTATTTGCAGAGAGCAAACCTCACAAGCCATGCTACTCGATGAAGTTCTTTTTGGCTAAATGCCGATGGTTAAACACAATTGTTTAAGCATTTGCCATTGCAAACGTGGAGCTGTTTAAATACACGTTCAAAGGCTCTGAAGAGAAAGCTAGAGAAAAGTTTAATGGTTTTGTAACGGAAATGAATTTTTGCAAGTAAGCTTGCTCTATCAACGGTGATACAGCACTGACACGATTTTCAAAACCCTTCGGTCTAATTTTCATATTGAAATATACATTCGGAAATAAATGATTCATTTGTCTTGGAGGCCAATAATTTCTTACTTGTATACTGTATTCCCTTTTCGGGTTGTACCAGAAAACGTAACTAAGTTCTTTCATCTGTTACCGTGATAATATTAAGCTTGTTTTGAGATGTACCTTCGGTAGAGCTTATGCGTGTCACAACACTAACAAACAATCAGAAAACGAAATAATACAAATCTCGTTAATTAAATTATCACCTGAAATCATGGAACATTCAAAGTCTCACAACTTCAAGCAAGATATATTTAATGAGTCCTCCAATCTGTCAGTGTCACAAGCTGGCTGCGAAAATGTGTTGCGACAAGCACTAGATTCCATTGAGGAATGTTGTTCTTCTAGCGTCGCCACACCCTCTCGCTCACTACGACACTTTTAAATCGTTCCATCAGCGTCGATAGATCTGCAACCAAAACATAACATCAGTGTTTAATAACCGTAAGTACAATTCTGCTTATTATATTGTGCCCTCTGCTTTTCCTAAAGACTCTGTTTTGGATTTATTAACATCGCGGAATGCTGATTCATAAAGGCCGTAAAGATTGTTATGAAGATTGTCTGTCAAGCAACTGGCTTCATAAAACCAACAGACCCATTCAAAAGTCGTTCATTTCAAGACTAGAAAAACAGAATTTCTTCTATTTCACTAAAACGGCATCTAACCACCCAAAGACGACGATATATTACAAAAACTACTACGAAAGGAAAGATAATTTTGTGTGTTTTGCATACCATTCATGCACGTACACATTTATTAACCCTCTTAGTTTTCATAAAAATGTAATTGCTGATTTAGGACCGAAGTCTATTTTATGAGAAAGAAAATGCCTAACATTTAAATATCATCCTCTAAGAGAGAGAAAACGTAACATCTCTTAAATTGAAGAGTCCAAACTCATTTGGCAATTGCAAGTTACCTGCTGCTGAAGAAGTGAAGTGAATAGTTATTCCTGAAGACTTGGCACACTTAACTGGGCTCGTGTTGTACGACATTTGTTCTTTTACTACATGTTAATCAATATCACGATAGAATGCAAAACATTTCTCTCATAGTAACACAAAGATCCCTTGCAATGCATATTGACTGAAATTTATTTGACTCTCTGAAAGAATAATCGATTTCAGACCACATATTGGTGACCTCAAGAAACAAAACAAGCCTAGTACATCACGCTGTTACAGAGACCATGCTTGTCAAATTTCAGTTTCCTTCTCCATAATTTTCCCTTTCGAATTTCAACCAAACGTGTTTGGAATTAATTTTCCATATTTGATATAGAAGACTAAATCATGAAGAAAAAACTTACATTTTGATTATAGCATATTTGCCATGAAATGCCTGATTGTACAGTGGAACCTCGATAGAACGAAGGGCCAAGGGACTGGCAAAATATGTTCGCTATAACGAGCTTTCGCTATATCGGAGTTCTTTTCCATATATTTTACTATTACTAGGGAAAATGATACCGTTCGTCACACCGAGGACTTCGTTAAATAGAGGTTCGTTAAATCGAGGCTCCACTCAGGACAAAGTAAAAGATTATGATGAAGATGTTTTTGACTTAGATATAAAAATTCCCCAGGACTGTTGAGCTACGAGCTATTCACATTATTGTTCAGTTGTTCTTACCACTTACAAGCCACTCCGTAATGAAAACAACTTTTCATTCTTTTTTAAAACATGTCTTCAATAAGTATAGGTCCAATCTCTGTAGAATTGATGGAGCCTTCAAATTACTGTCTTCATCATATTAAGCGACTTCATATTAAGATAGCTACTATTAAAATAAGGTTGCATAAGGAGAATCAAAATCAAATTACATGTTCGATACAACTTGTTGGGCTGCTGTGCGAATTCAACAGAATCAGGAGGAAACATTTTTGCTCAAGATTACTGATAAATTCCGGAAACTTCACTTGTTTCTGTTATTGTTGCATGCATGTAGCTGAAGATGGGGAGAAATTAATACGTTGCTTGGCAGAATTCAACAACCATTTGATATCATCTCTTTATTGCATATTTTAAAATCTCCTTTTATTTACTTTCAGGACAGTTTCTTCCAAACTTTCCAAAGCATCTACATCTAAACAAATACTTGACAGCTAAATTGCAGCATATTGTGCAACAGTTTCAGCTAATTTTTAATGTTTTTGATTTGTTGTTTATTGCCACGTTGTTTGAAGTAGTTACTGGAAATTAAAACGCGTGCAACAAACAAAGTACTCATTATGCAATTCAGTCGCTCACTTGCTTCATTCTTTAGCTATTCTATGATAGTTTTACAACTGATTTTGCCGACTCCTGTAGGTATTCAACCGCTTCCCCCTCAAATAAAAAAAAGTGAGTATAGAATATCATAAATTGAAAGCAAGGCATCGAGTGGCAGTACAATTTAAGAGACATCTTTGAACAATTTGACTCTTTCGTCTTTAAACAAAATTTGCTCGATTCTAGCCAGTGTTTGAAATTGGCAACTTATTTCTTTTTGTTTTTTAAAACTACCACCCCCATACCGAGCTCATATTGGAAGATTGCTTCGATCTTTTCTACATCTACATCTACATCTACATTTATTAAGTCGGTAAAATCATTAAGACATCGCACCAACTAAACTATAAGAGTTGATTATAAAATATAGAGATAAATAAATAACTAAATAAATAAACTCTGATAATACATATATAAAAATATGTGAATTTTATAAGAGTATCATATAAAAATGTATTGTTTAAAAGTCTATTGATGCTTAGCTAAATAGGGAAGTAACTTAGAGTTACAAAGAGCCAGGGAGTTTGACTCAGCTATATCCACGGGTAGTTTATTCCATAGTGTTATTGTCCTTTAAATATACTTCTAAGCTCCATTCAGCGCGGCTTTGGCTCGAATGACACTAAGTTCTCGGTACAAGAACACTCACTGGTCACTGAATTTTAGCTAGTTCGTATCTAATAAACAAGCTATTTGAAATTGTATGGTAAACGCTGTCATAGAACCTTCATATGTAATGATCCTTGCGGAAAAATCAATAAATACAATTTGACTTCTGTCTAGGATGACCTTTATAAACGTTTCATATCATCACATGTGTCGAACGGAAATGGCTGACACTGTCAGGGAAAGATTAAGATGAATGAGCATTTTATTCCATGTTCAAAATCTCTTTCGGAAGGTGTTCGTCATAATTACAAATGTCTGAAGGATTACATCTGTCGAACAAATCATTTATTCCTGTTCAAAAATCTCCCATCTTTAAGTATGAACAAAAGTAGTGAACAATAGCTAAAATCATATACAAAAGTAACTAGATAATAAAAATAAACTCAAGTCTCTATAGATTTAAAACGAAAGAAATTAGATTTCTTACAAGCAGCGCTTAAAAAAAATATCAAGATACTATTTACTACCCTCTGAGGTATGATCATAAAGAAAATTTATGCACAATTGGAACAAAGGTTTAAAAGATCTTCGGATCAAAAGGGAGTAAACCGCGATATACTTCTTTATTACTCTCAAGGATTTTAAGGGTTGTTCCCATCTATTGTCAAAAAGACCTTAGAAAAACATGCTTTCGAGGGTTTAAAGGATTATTGCGAAGAAATAAAATCTCATTTGGTAGTAACGAATTCTTACCGTCACGATAGTGCAATGTTATCGATCGTTTTTACGTGACCTCATCAAATCCCAAAATCCAAAACTAAAGAGCCACGAAAGTTTTTATCCTCATCAGGCATGAGAGGATGTAAATTTATGTCTGTTTACAACTTTTCAGCTCAACCGCGTGCTTGGTTTGGAAACCAGCGCAGTTTGAAGTTCGGAGTTAAGGCGGTGCGTGACATTCCGCTCCTATCACGTTTGTGGAAAAATATACACGTATCTAGTGATTTTTAGCCTTTTTAGGAGTTAAAGTGTTAGAAAAAGTGCTTGAGGGAATGTTTGTTGGCTCAGTTCAGATAATCAGTCGCCTAGATAGTCAAAGTAAGTTCCAGATGCTTACACCATTTCGCGGCCGCCATGTTGGTGGAGCACAGAGCTCCCATACTGGGCTCTGTAAATTTGCGCAAAACATTTCGACGAATATCTGAAGTTTGGGAAAACGCAGAGAACTAAAACTTGGAAAAGTGTCTTCTTTACCTGTTTACTATAACAGTACAATTTCTTGACTTTATCCACTGAATAGTTTTCGATTTATTTTTTCGTTGCGTGACGGTGAAAAGGATCAACACTAACTTACCCAGAAACGTACAGGCTTTGCTATTTACGGCCTGATCGATTTTTTGTTTCATGTCGGTTCCGTTATCCTGTTTCGTATTTTTCGAATTTTGATTATTAGTAATATCTTAATTCTCAGTTAAGTCTTCAGATCCTCTAAAACCCTCTTCTAAAGACTATACTTATTAAATGGTCCATGTTTGTGAACTTCCAAATACGCCTCTCAGATTAAAATTATTTCAAAGAAAAATAAAACTTGTTACACTTAAAACTACCATTTTGGCCTTAGAAGTACTGCGAGTTAGAAGATTACACTTAAAATAAGATAATTAGTTATTTAGAATAGAGGGAAGATACATAAGTGCCCTCGCTAAAAAAAAGCCTTGTTTCCTCTGTAATTATAAATCTGGCAGACAGAACTGATTTGCTCTTGTCAATATCACAAGAAAAAAACAACGAAATGTGCAATTCCACTACAACGAATAAAATTTCACAATGCTTTCAAGAAGATATCAAGTTAAAACCTACAATTACAAAACTACAACGGGTTATTTATGAGTTTTATAAGATACCTCATGTACACTGAATTTTGTTTTGGTTAAGAGTCCGAAATTGTTAAGTAACTTTGGAATTTCGAAAAGTGGTCTATGAAAGATATAATCTAATATAAAGAAGCTAAGTTTCTTTCATTATATATCAGAAAATATTGGCAGCTAAAATGCATGTTAAGTGATGCTGACTCAGTAAAGGTCAAAATGAGAGGGAATTGACTGAGAGCTACTGTTTTTTTTTTCTTCTGTCAGCTGAGAAATCATGTGTTTCTTAAACGAGAACTGACATGTGAGATCTTCAAAATTTGCTGATTCATGAGAAATTAACTAAAATATTTTAACTGTCATCTGAGAAATAATAAGTTTTTTATTTGATACCTGAGATCTGAGGTCTTCAAAATTCAGTTACTAATAACTGAGAAGCGTGCTAGGTCTTAACATCATAGCTGAGAAATCACCCAAAGATTACAGTACCGCTTCCAGACTGCGGTCTCCAATAACCTGGTTGTCTAAATAGTGCTATGACAAAGGTTCTTTAGGAGAGGGATAGTATTTTTTAAAAAAAATAAACTGAATTAATTTACGTATTAAAAAAATACCACATACCATGCTTAGGTACTTTATAATGGGGCTGTGATTTCGCTGTGCAAGAATGCTCAGAGAATGCTGAACAGTTTCCGGGTTATTCCAAATAACAAAGTTATAACTGAGTCACCAATACATTCAAGACAATGCTTGTATAAAGGTGGGCGACACATACTAAAAAAAGAATGACATAAATTTGGACTGCAAGCATAAGCTGATGTAAGATATCCGAACTTTGACACCGACAAAGAGAGGAAGCAAAATTCAGATCACGTCCATTGAAGAGACCTACCCAGTCAGGTAACTTCCTAAAATAACTCATGAAGAAATTAATCACTGCTAAGTCACATTAGTCAAACTTGGATGATTTATTAAGCAACTAATAGTAAAGCTAGATCTTTACATAATAATATTTAATGCTTCTACAGTCTATTGAGTGTGATTTTTCGTCGAAACTCCATTGACTTCCATTGTCAAGGGAAGACAAATTTCGGTCTGTGACATTCAACCGCCTTAAGGCTGATTCGACGAGTTTATGACTTTTTAGTTCTTGCTCTAGAATAAAGAGGTGTCATGTTAGTGCAAAACACAATAAACTAATTATTTTAAAGATTGACTCTAAATCTGTTTGTGCCCTCTTCATTAATACTGCAAACTATCTTGTTGGTTCGGAACTGGGGTTAGAAGAAACAAATTACAATAGCGTATTAATGAATTAAGCCACGTTAAGCAAAATAAGAGCCGACTTTGCAAAGACTAAGCACTTCCTAATTATCTAAGGTCCTATCATAGACCAAATTAGGAAAATAGCTCTACCGATAGTTGTCTTTAAGACGTGATATGAAATTTATCCTATGGCTTGCACAGTGTCATAGGTCAGATATCGTTCATTTATTGTATTTGCAATATAATTATTAACCCGATGTGTGAGGAACGCAGTGCAAACATGTCCGAGTGACTAGAAATGCTTCTATTTTTATTCCAGATACATTCAGAAACAAGTAGACATTGATGAGTGGGAATTACTTCCTTGTCTTCAGTCACGTACAGACTTCTGAGTCGAACATCCTGCCTTTATTTGAAAAAAATTTCGAATCATAAATTTCATTATCTTCGGTTCCATCGTTCCAAATATATAAAACAGTAAAAAATTCATTTTTGGAATTCTATATAAACCTCCAACTAACACTTCTTTTGATGTCACAAACCCTCTTTTTCACAAACATGAACCACAGTGGAACCTCGATGTAACGAAAAGCCAAGGGACTGGCAAAATATGTTCGCTGTAACGAGGTTTCGTTGTATAGAGGTTCTTTGCCATACATTTTACTCTCACCGGGTTGAGGAATGTCGTTCGTTATACCGAGGACCTCGTTGTTAAACCGGTTGTTGTTCGTTAAATCGGTTACACTTACAGTTTCTGTTTCTACACTAAAACGAGGACTCACGAACTTGTGGCCGGCCAACGTTTACTTAGACTTCAAACCGTTGTTGTTATAGCTAAGCTTTTCATGCTTTTTCACACAACAAATATACTAAACTTCAAGCGGCTGAGGATATAAGGTCCTCTGTAAAAACCGCGCGTCATGGCTGTAAATTCTGTAAGTCTCACAAACACCGTAATTGCACCAAAATTCTAAAGTGAGTTTGGAGAAAATCAAGTGAAGAAATTGAAATTGGTTTGTTTCTCCGTTTTAATCCATGTGGGCATTTTTTGAACGACTGTGTTCATAGCAACCCCTACTTTATAGAACCTATGGGTCCTGAAATTTAATATGGGTCCTGCCTTAAGTTCGCTATTACGTAATGAGCTCCTTGATAAATTACGGCTATGCATTTAAGTAACGCTCCTGTAAACGCAAAAAATACGTAAAATTGGACATAAAATCACTTCGCAGTAAGAGAAAATAAAGAGGTTGTTGATATTTTTTAAGGGAAAGTTTCTGTATGGCCTTAAAATAAGCTAAAATAAATTCGAAACTTGTTCCCTGTTTGTTCTGTTAACTATTGAGATATATCAGAAAGTTTCGAATCAAACAGTTACTCGACAAAAAATCCACAGAGCTGACAAATTATACTTGGCAAATTATTTATTTTACACAGTCGAGAAAAATTTCACAAAAAAAATTGGCTTGCAAACTTTTCTTTAAAAATTTAATGGTCCATGGCTTCAGCGAGGCAGCCGCTCACAGGATGTCTTCGTTGTTCCAGAATGAAGACTGTGACTAAGATGATTATGTAATCCCGGCACGTACGGAAACTCAGCGACGATCGTATTTTTGTCTCGCGGCCGGTCTGGTGGGGTTGCTCTATTGTGCGGTTTGCGCCCGGTTGGAGCAGGTGCCTGCCGTACGTGCCTCGAGACGGCGAAAACAGGATGCTCTAAGCATTCGTAAACATGATCGTCGCGCCTCACTAATAATATTTGTTGTCGGAAAAAAATTGATTGAATTTAGAGACATCCACTTCAAAAATATACGGATAGAAAGTATGATACATGTTTGAGATAACACGACTTAGCATTTTTAATTTATGATTTCTCACAATATTTTTTCATTTCAATATTGGTGGTAAAATCATAAACGTAACAGATCATCTCTGCTCTTGTATAAAGCATTATGTCGTTGGGCAAAATTAAATTCCCTTTGGGAAATACTCCGGTTGCGTGACACGAACCCGGCTTATTCAAACATGTATGTCTAGTTTTAATACTGATTTTAAGTTGTCGCTTTTATCTAGGTAGAAAAGTGCGCAATTTTTAATTTAGTTTTCTTGATATTTTGCCCTTTGAATTTTCAAAACGAAATTACACACTGTTTATGGTAGACGGTCTGTTGATCGAAACCTAGCAACATGGAGAGGTTACGTGACCAAAACATCATTACCTTTGCATGCCTCGACGATTTGTAATTGTGTTTATTTCTGGATGGACGGCGCAGTCAAAACACGGAGACACAGACATTGAGCGAACGATGGAATATTTAAATAAAATTAACATTTAGTGGGTTTGTTTGACGGAAAATATTTTTACTCTTTCCGGTGACTTATGAAATGATAATCGGCCTCAATTCGATCACGGTTTTTCCATTCCTGATATTTTTAAGTATAATGTTATGTTATAACATATAGAAGAAATCTTAGGTCTGCAAGTATTGTTTTCGACTACCTGTCTTGCTTTTACGGGGTGAGAGGGTCACACCGGATGTTACTGTCAATCAAACTTGCGAGCTCCCGCCCTCTCACATACTCAGGTCCATTCCGGATGCAAGCGCTTTCAGCCAATCACATTTCGAAAAGGCGCACAAGTTTTCTTATCTTCCAATGAAAAAGATGCAGGGAAAAGCCCTTTTTATAGCCGCATCTTAAACGCGCTAAAACGACGTAGCCGACTTGAAACGGCTCAGTTTGCGATGATAAACCAATTGGTTAGACATAAAAACATTTGCATTACCGAGCCCTCTTGAAAGCGTTACAAGAGTTGCAGTGCACGAGACATTGGTTGGACTCTCTTATAAGGTAACAGTATTTTTTCGATGTTCACAAACTTGTAGTTCTGGTTGGAGATCTGAGGTGAATTTTCGGTGTGTGTTGGATTTGACAAGCATTCGAGTATATTTTGACAACTTCTCGGCGAAACACCCACGCTAGATTGTGCACGAAACTTGCCTATGCACATCAAGTCGAACTTCAAAAGCACTGTGTTTTCGCCATCGCGCGTAACACAATGGCTGTATTTTCAGGTGTCGTGCTTGTTTGGAAAGCGAGCTCCGAAGTCATGGATCTCAGTTGTCTAGACGTAAGTATATGAAAGACAATGATACGATCCCAAAATACGCAGTATCACGGAGACCTAGGGGCCTTAGACCTTCAGTGCATGCAAGTTACGGTTGTTTCACCTGAATCGCACAAAGCGTAATAATTTGTCTCACTTCTTCGACTGCGAAAGCGAAATGAGAACATGTGTTAGACGATCTGTTGCTATAAGAAGTTGTTTAGCTTCAGGTCAAACAGAGAAAAACGAAAATTGAAATGCAGATCACGTTTGCATCGATCAATCGCTGATAGTAAATTGTTATGTCGCGGCCTGCGGTAGAACGTATGTTTTTGTAAATACTTATTGAAATTCACAATTACGTCATACCTTGTTGAATATATTGCCGCATTGTCATTTTTGGACTAGAGGAGTATTTTTAACTTTAGCTGACGGTTTCGTCTCTCTGAAGAATGAATTCATCTTGGTAATCCCTTGCCTGTCGCTCGAATTGAGCTTTGCACTTTATTAGGTTAAAGTACAGTCAGTAAACCAGATAAGAGCCAGTTAAAATTCAGGTCCAGTTGATTTCTAACGTCACGCAACACTAGTCGCGTGACATAAAGCCATTGTTCCATACATGATATATCAGACATGAGAACAAAGATGGACTGAGTCTGTTAATAAAATGCAGAAAACATTGTTTTTATTTATAGGCATTGAATTTGCAAATGCCGTCTGCTCTTCTAACTGACTGTGGCGTATTTTGGTGGTTCATTAATTTACAACTGCGTGTCGCCATTTGTGAAGATCTTTTCAAGACTACAGAATTTGAGCATTTTGCACCCGCATCTCAATCGGCAGATTCAGTTTGATATTTGATTTTAAAAGCTTTCTCTATCGTGCCAAGATCGCATCCAGACTGAGAGAAATAATCCGCTAACAACACTGGAAACTTTTCTGCGACTTCTGAAGTGAAACTGCCCATATTTCATAACTCTGAAGAAACGATACAGCTTCAACACTGTAGCAGGTGTTGGAAATAATTTCATTTTTTAATCGGCATTGTGTTCAAGACGACTAAAGCTTTTAAAGAGTGAGGTTTCGCTATTCAACAGTTCGCTGGCGCCTTCAATAATTTGGCTCTGCAGCTTTGAACCCAAATGGAGGTAGGTCCCTTACGTAGAAAAGATTTTCTCAGCTTCAACTTGCACGTCGTGGCTTTCAATGAAACCTCTTATAAGAACACCTAGAAAGTGTTCTTCAATAATAGTTCGACGAAGAAAAATTCAAACTATGAAGTGCGTGTTTCAACTGATGGCGTTTAATGTTAAAGTTACAGTCGTTAAAAAATACCGAAAACCGACACAATGTATAGAATCTTATACTTTTAACTGTCGAGTGAGGCAAACTGACACAGAGAGCTAAACTGAGCCTATTTCAATGTCTACGTTACTTGTTTATCTCAGACGAAGCTAGACTATTCATTATATTATATTCGCCGTTTCGACACAGCCGGCTGTATTCTAATTTTGAGGCTATGGCAACGTTCGCTATAAACAAGAAACTGCAAATACTGAGGATTTGAATGCTGTTGCAAATATTGGCACAGCCGAGTCACATTTTCTCGCACCTTAAACAACAAAATGAAATCGTGACGCTCTGAGATCAAAAACTACTTGGAATGTTATAAAAATAGCGAAACATCGCAAGCACGTCCAGGGACCGAACCCCTGTAATTAAACAAACTCATTCAGTGGTTTTCTGACGTCGACTGGAAGTTGTTGTGATAAAAATAGCTCCTATTTTGCCGCAAATTCAGTCAAATTAGCTATGGCGTGCTGCTTTATGATGCCCTCTGTAAAAAACGTACGTGACCTTGTTATCCTTTTGTGGACATCATGACGAAAAATGTACGTTCCAAACAGAGGACATTTTCCGTTGTGGACACTGTTAAAATTTATCAGTGGTAATAATTAAGTTCTTTCGACGCGCAAGGTAACTTTGCTGCGTTTTGAATCAGCAGTTGTTTTGCAAAAACTCTACGAGGCATCTTAACCAAGCTGAAAGAGAAATAATCTTTACAATGTAAGAGAAGCATTTCAAATAACGCAATAAAAGTTGGAGCAACTTTTAAGCCCAGTTAACTGAGATAACATGGAGGCACTTTCGAGATCCCAGCACTTTGATAATGGAGTTTATCCATGCCTTTGGGGTCGAGAAAAGGGTTAACAATCGATCTCCATAATGACTACCATGCAGTTAATTTGGATTCTCGTCAATATTTGTATCCAAAGAATGATTATCTGGAAAGCAACAAAGACAATGATCAGCATATTACTTCGTTCACTTTTTTTTTGTTTTCACCTGATACATACATGCATACATCAACTACAGTGCCAAGATTATTTAGCATCTCTGCTAATTGGAGACAAAAATAAAATTCTACTTTATAATATTAAAACTATATAAAAACTAAGGAATCCTGTTCATGAACAATAAAAATTAAACTCTGGGCTAATAATTACAAAGACATTCATTATAGGAAACTATTTTATATGATTTAGGCTAAGAACACCTATATTAGCAAAGATCACTAGTATTTTATAATTTTTACTCTTGTGTTTTTGCATCAAGCTCACGTCACTCTCCTTTCTAAGAAAAATAATTGAAAACAAAACGTCAGTCCAAATTATTTAAAAACACTATTATCATAGCAACAAAATGAATTTTAAGGTAATCATACAAAAATACGAAAATAGGAAACATTTCAAAAGTTCAAAATTTGCAGAGAACTTATTAGAACATGCCACGTGAAATTTACAGTTTTTAGATAGAACCTAGCTTTTAAATCTCTTTTGTTTTGTATTGTAGTTTATTTTATATATATTTTATCGTATTACTTCTGATCAACAGTTCTCTTCTTTGTAAATACCTTTTAGATAGTCTTTTTAGTTTTTAGACACAGCCACATCAGCGTTACTGTTATTATCGTGTATAAATAAATGCATTACCTTACCTTACCTTTACTGTTCACGTTTGACGTTAAATCATAAAAAAATTATAGAATAGGAACATTAATTTCACTGAGGAACATTAATTTCACTGAAGAACAAGATAGACGTTCCTACTATGTATACAAAGAGTTGTAAGGGTGTACATGTATACATTTAGTAGAAAGGCACAACAACAATCCACAAATTAAAAGTAGTAGAATGAAGGGGCTGAGGGTACATAAAAGAAGGAGAAAATATAACTATAAAGCTGAGCTGACTTACTTCAAATTTGCACTCTTTGAAGTTTTCGAATATTTCAAAATTTTAACCAAATTCAGTGCAATTGGGCTAATTTCTATCACGACAACTTAAGTGTACTCACACATAATCTAAACCTGCATTTTTAAAATTCAGAATATACAAGCATGTTTCATGCCTACTTAGAGTGAATACTGAGCGTGGAACAGCTATTTGTCCCAGACTTTTATACGCTATATAAAACGATGAGTAACTAACTTGTTCTTATTCACTGTTTTATTGTTACTCTTTTGACGTGTAGCTAGAGGCTACTCAGTTTTCGAAACAAACTTGTTATTGTTTTGTTGTATAATGAAGTCACCTTGTCGGTCTTCTTTTTAGACTTTTTCAGAATTTGAGTTGACTGAAGCAGCTAAAATGAACTGCGACGAGGTTCCAGGCTGGGATAACTCTCTGAGCGATGCGCTGATGTTTCCCAACGGTGGTGGAGGCCCTCGATCCGTGGACAACACTCAAGTAGTTCCAGATCTTAATGAGAGCACCCTAAGTGGAGACATTCAGATGATGAGTTTGGACTGCCCAGTCGTATCGCCGGAGGATCTGACCAAACAAAGAAGCGACAGCCTCGGCAGTTTAAGCTCTTGGAAGAGTTGCTCCAGTCTGACTTCTGGCTATCAATCAGATGATACTCACTGGAGTACGGTGAGCTCCCCCAAGTATCTGGGTATGGACGAAGAACTTCCCTCTTCCCCAGCTGGTAGTACTCTTTTAAACTTAGACGGCATCTCATCTCCAAATGTGCTGGAGTCTCTTGGCCCTACAGCTGAAGGTTAGCCAGCTTTGAATCTCTAGTTTGCATAAGCATTTCTTCACACTAGCTTCCATACCACACATCCTGTTAACCTTCTGTGTAGCATGGAAATGAAGTTTCATATACACGAACACCTCTGGCATTAATTCGCACAAGGCCTAAATTCAAGGGCCACCGATGGACAACTCTAATGTATTTCAAACGGTATGTTTACTCTGACAATTGTCCCTAATCACTAAGGTACATTTGGATGATTAAGAACAACGAGTTCTGGTGCAATGATCAGTTGCTTGAGATAAAAATGGTTTAAGTCAACAGAAACCGTTTTAGTTCATTTTACACTGCAAAACGGTTTGTCGATTGATGTAGTATTAAATTTTAGTTTCGGATTTTCGATCAGGAACTGACTTGCTTAGTTTGTGTATCTGGCCCTAGTTAAAAAAAAAAAGACTAAAGGCAAATGAGCACCACTGTTGTTCAAGAATTGATCTTTTAAATCAACAGAATTCGTGTGAATTATGAACGTTTTGTGGTCTACATTCTTGTTTCGAAAGTCACTATACTACCAAAATACGATCGTACTCTTTTCTTTGATGTTCATGAAAGATCTTGCTGGAAATGTGCGCCTTTTGTGTAGTAAACTTTTGCTCTTCTCTTCGATCACATTCGATCCATTACAGATGTCTAAGGCATACGAATGTGTTAATTTCGATGCAATTTTGTCTCTTAGCTTCTCCACGTAACATCCGTTCTTTTCGTATAAAAAGGCGACTGTTAGTTGTTATTTGGATTCAAACCTCACGAGCGCATTGTTTGGAGGACGGTTTGTTGTGGTGCAAATGCAAGGCCCGTTCGTCTTAACAAGAAATACAGCCATTAAAACATGGCTCCACCAAATACTTCAGTTGCTATCGCTCTTCATTTGCAGCATTTTGATTGGCTGGTCGAATGTTACCCATAATTCAAATCTATTGTTGGCGGTTCAAAGCGTCTTTGGAATGTTCTTCCTGTTTACAGCGGTAAGAAGTTTGGTTCTGCAACTCCTCAGAAAAGCGGGAAACATCCGGTTAAAGTATGACTTTACATAGCCGCAAATCCACGGAAAGTTTCAAATAATACTTGCCAAGCTCAAAGATGTTTTCTGGTTTTACGGTGACTCAGATTTTTGCGTTTTCTTCCCGTTTTCTCTTGTTTTGGGTTTCTAGCTGCTTAAAACTTCCGGTCGAATCGATCTGTGCTCTAGAAAGCTATGGACAGTCGTTTCATCAAGGTTCTATACGAAATCGGAACCAATGGTTTGTTCCTGAGCACACTAAAATCAAGGTAAGCTTTCGTTTCCTTACGTGAGTAAGGATTTTCTTGCATATCTACAAGTCTTCGAACTATCACGACATGCTCGATTTGAGTGCTTTTCTGAAACATACAAGATAGATCAAGATAACTCGTCAAGCCCATTTAGCCTCAAGGTAGCCTTAACCAGTCATGAAATGTTTGATGTAAAGTGAGTCGATTTCGTTTGGAGCGTTGTTCTCAATTTGCCCGTAAAATGTTCTGATAATTCGTCTACAAACCGGCGTTAACCAAGTGTAACGAAAGTTGCCCGCCTTTACAGTTCAGTTCCATATATTGGGCAAATGGATTTCAATTAATTCGTATATAGTTTTGCTGTTGCGGAATATATAAACAAGAGCTTCTTAATTACACCAGGATTATTGAATATTCCGTTTTCAACCTTTTTCTTTGCAAAGAGCTTTTTTCAGAAAGAGTCCAGTTTTTCGTATGCACGAAAATGCTTACAGCTCTTAACAGATTTACTAAACTGGATATTTTATTTGCTCTCCCTTTCATCGCAAGAGAACCATTTCAGTCGTATTGCGTAGAACTGAACGGTTTTGCAAAATTCAGCATGTATCTCTCCGTGTGCAGACAACACGATCGCCTTCATGCGATGAATGTTCTGCTTTTGTCTTCTTTAATGGACGAGTGATAATCAAAATTCAGCCAAGAAAACTGTTCAAAGCTTGGACGAAACGTTGACGTTTTTGCCTCGTTTGTTTTGAAAAGGACCACAGCTTCTGTTGATTCTGTGTTCGGGAAAACTGTCAGAGTTGTTGCTCGTATATTAGGCTCTTGATTGTAGTTGGTCTTTCTTTCTTCTTCTACTATGAATATAGAAAGGCAATGAGGTGAACCATTTTCCTCGACTCCTACATGAGAGTTAAGGCTCTTTAAATGTCGTTATTTATCTCCTAATAAGCGGTTTTGCAGCATGGTAAATCTTTTGTCTGTCTCATTCTCCGAGCTGAATATGATTTATCAGTGACTCTTCTAAATGACATATGGGCTGATTCTTTGAACCATATTTCTTCACTTGGTTCTTGCAAGTGGAAGCAACTTGTCTATAAATACTCACTCAAGTGATGAGTCATTCACTCATTCCCCTCTAGTGACCTCAATCATTAGACTCAGCCCCATTTACACATTTGCTCATATACCTGTTGATTGTCCATTCACCAATTCACCAATTCACCTATTCACCTATTCACCTATTCACCTATTCACCTATTCAGTTTTCACTCTCATCCCTCCCCCCTTTCTCCCTTATCCACCCTCCCCCTTTCTTCCTCCATTCCTCCATTCCCTCATTCACCCATTCACCCACTGTATTCACTAGTTATTTCATTCATCCATTAACCCAATCACTCAGCTTCACTCATGCACCCATTCAATAATTCACCTATCCATTGATTCAACCATCCACTGATTCTCTCATTCACACCATATCCAGTTCATTTATTCATTCACTCATTCATTTATTCCTTCGGCCCTTCAACCATCCGTTCAATCACCAGTTCTTTCATTCACTCATTCATTTATTCCTTTGGCCCTTCAAACACTCCCTCGATGGCCAATTTGTTCATTCACTCATTCATTTTTTCCATCGGCCCTTCAACCATTCCCTCGATCAATCACCAATTCGTTCATTTACTCATTCACTTTTTCAGTCACTCAGCGCTTCACTCAGATTCATTAATTCAACCATTCACCCCTTCTCTCACTCGCCCATTCACTCATTTCCTCTTTTCCTCTTGTGTGTTTCCCATATAGGTCTATCCAGCTCAGGCGCAGATTGGATGCGTTGCTCACCTTCTACCTGGACAAAGGCTCAAGTACAGAGCTGGCTGAGGTGGGCCTGGAAGCATTACAATATCCCGGGAGAGTATGACCTGGGGAAACTAGACCTTACTGGTCTAGAGCTTTACTTCTCTCCAATAGAAGAGTTACAAAACCGTTCAGAACATGGAGGTCTTCTGTACGATGCCTTCACTCAGTTACAATTGGATATTCCCCAGTGGGAATGTAAGTATTGTGGAGCAGGCTACAACAAATATGTTATATAAGACAAATAAATAAATAAGCATTTAGATAAATAAATAGGAAAAAATATGTCTCTCAGTCTCTGTAGACTACGATATTCAGCTTTTTCTCAGTTAAACATTACTAAATCAGTAATACGTGGTCAGTGTATGAGTGCATTGGAATGAAGTAAGAAAAAGAAAAAGTAACAGAAAGTAATTAATGAAAGCAAGAAAGAAAGAAGAAGGGAGGAATTGAAAAAGACTAAAAAGAGGAAAAGAAAGGAAAGAGAGAAAGAAACAAGAATGTAAGGAAGAAAGACACAGAAAGAGGGAAAGAAGCAAAGAAAGAACGGAAAACGACAGACACCCCTTAATTCCACAGTAAAATGGTGGGACAATTTAAAAAAGATTCGTCGCCCTTCACGCTTCCGAAAACTTTTTTAATGTTAATTGATTTGGTTTTCTTTTCCAGATAACAGTACCTTCTATGAAGGTAAGTTTGCTTTGTCATGAACCTGTTTTGCTACATGTCGCAGAAAAAGGTTTGCCAGATCTAGACTGAGCGAAGCCAACACGGACTATTATTAAATTGTTTTTTCCTCTCTTTTACAGGATTTTATGATCCGTTAAGTGACGAGATCGTTAACTATCTTGCTGAGCAAGGTATTGTATTCTGTCTTTATCCGTTGGTACTTCATGTGTAGCACTGAGTTATGAGAATAAAAGATAAATTCTCCTAACGGACAACCAGTACAAGAATTCTGTTCTAGATGATGACTTTTTTAATTTTTATTATTTGTCTGCGTAACAACGCAGGAGAAATTATTTGTTTATAACTCATGGTGTCTTTTGCTCTTTAAAGGTTTACTTAATAACGAGCTTGAAGATCTTGATTTACAAGGTGAGAACGCTGAGATTCTTGGCTGCCAAAAAGAAGCAGATAAAATCGTTTCAAATCTCAGTTGTGCATGCTTTTCCGTTTTCGATCTTTTGCAATCTTTTGCGTCAATTTCTTTTCTATTTCATTTAGTACTGCATATGTCGTCAGTTATGCTTTTATTTTCGATTTTCCTGTCTGTTTTGAATTGACCTGTTTAGGAGTTCTTGTCGTAAAGGTTCTTTCTAAAAATCCACTTTTTTCTTCCTTTTCAGACTTGGCAAAGCTTCTTGATGATTCAGAAAATGGTGAGTAAAAATATCTGTTATAGCATGCAACTGTCATTGCCTAGCTTGTAAAATCGTCCATAATTACCTTAGATGGCCATGCCCCTACCAAAAACTGCGACCGAAACTTGTCTATTACGTAAGCAAAGCTGTGTGCGTAATAGAACTTTCATAGGTGCATTTCATCAGTGTATCTTTTATCGCGTAAAAGTAGCTTTCGAACTCGAGAAAAATTAGCGCTAAAATTTGAAAAATTTCCGTAAGAAGCACGAGTTTCCGTCCACACGGGTCTCTCTTTTCAGAAGGGTTACTCCTCGAAGAACAATTTTAATTTTAATCATGGTAATTCAGTTTTCGTAATTAACACCAAAAAGCCCCGTTGGGAGCTGTTTATATAATCTGTCTTGTATTGGTGCCTAAATTTTGGCGACTACTATGCTGCACAGTCCTAGACAGTGATTCAGCAAAACTGGAAATTATTAATGTCGACTTGTGACAGATTAAGCTGTGATTAAGTTGTGTTTTCCGCGCTCGACTTGCCATACTGCTAATACCACTATCGATAGTAATTGATTGCAAAATGGACGAGTGAATTATCAGAATTTTAACTTACCTCTCAAACATAACCCTCAAAACGCTGTGAATTGCTTGGTAACAGAATATAATAACCGGTGAACACTCTACATATTTAACAGAAAATTTGCGAAAAATGGCACGTATTCGTGACGTCAAACGGGAAATATTAACCGACCCCGACTTTCATTAACCGAAAGTAACGTCACTATCGTGGAAACAAAGGCAAAGATAATTGAAATGTCCGTCACAGGAATTGCTCCGTCTTTCCGCAATTCAAAATTCGTGACTCGATATAACTTCTCTGCTTCCTAGTGCTCAATTTCGATGCCATTACTCCGAAGTGTCTCTGTGACCTTTTACACGTGAAAGAAAAGAGAAAAAACGTCTCATTGGTTGAAAAAAAAAATTTAATTGCGTCCGGAGAAGCAAGCATTATAAACTTTGTTCAAGTGCATAAAGTGCTAAAGTTCACCAAAGCCAAGCTTCTACCGATTAAAGACAAAGTACCGCTTACGAGCAACTGCTAGTAATGTTCGCTGTAAGATAAAAGACGAAAGAAATTGAATGTATACTATTGACAGCTTCCTCTGAAGCTTGCTGTGAGCAGAACATAAGGTTCCGCATGAGTTATTTCCTTATGTCTCGGTATTAGCACGTAGCGCATATTGATCACTGCGCAAGTGGATAACACGTGATACCTCGCAGGTCGAGACTTGCGTGGGTGGTTGAAAGACGCACCCTAGTTCAATGTCTCATGATCGAGGCGAGCGCAAATTCCAAGCTTCGAAAGAAAATATGTTCAGTTTTCGAGCGCGTTTCGCAGCTTAGTACTCTTAGTGTGTTTTTCAACGGGTTTCGCCGTCTTCCGAAGGTAGAAATTCGCGACTTTAGCCGCGACAGATCCGCAATAAAGTTAAGCTTTAACAAACAACATTCCTTTGTTTCCGCCTGACGATACACTGACCGTAGAGATACGCTTTGTTACACACTTCCGGGTCTGTTGGTTTTTGTGTCAATGCTGCCCGTCTATGCTATCACGGACAACCGTTTGATCACACTTTTACAGCGCATTTGCCATTTCGACAGCGTATACTCGTTTCAAAACTCGGGAAACCAGCCTTTTGAATTCAAATTACTCGGGCGAAACAAATTATACTGCTCGCTTTAGTAAAAATGCAAATAATCCATCGCGGTTACGTAAATAGGCAAGTGAAATTCGAATCGCAATGACCTCTCACTTACTGAGGGGATAGTGCTCGGGAGGCTTTTGTTCTGATGCTTTAAACATTTGTAAATAGAGGCCGAAAGTGCTAAAAGGTTCTTCGTTTTATAACTTATGCTTTCAAGATATCTTCTTATGTAATAGCATCAATTCACCGATGATAATATATCAGAGAGCAAATTCAGTAAAATGTAAATGTTTATGACCTTCCCTCCCCTCCCTCAAAGATATTTTTTGCTCAATAATCCCCCAGCATATTTATCGACTGTGGTCCGTGGTTTGCTCTTGCATGTTGAGTTCCTAATAAGCGAGCTTTCCGCCAAACGTTCAAAGCTGGAAATGCCCTATTACTGCTCTTTAAGAATATTTAGCAAGGAGAAAAAGAAAAGACGTCGACGAAAAGGTAATCGACTCGAATTGAATCATAATATTTCGTTAGTATTAGCTCGTATGCCTTGCGTGAACTGTCCCTGCAATAATTTGAACTTTTATGATATATTTACTGTTAGCCGCCGTTCATTACTTTCGTTTGGGGAAAGTGTTAAAGCTGAAATGTAGTAGTTCATGCCTTGTTGTTCGAATAGTCCGGTTTTAGAGATTACAGTCTACATTTCGGATGGTAATTTGGAAACGGAGATGTCGATTTGCAGTGTAATTTTACGCAGCCAAACTAGCTTCCTGATCGATTGCATCTTGTATAGTTCTCGCCGTTTACGCCGTTTATTTAAGCTCTATCTGACAGACTTGCGTTCATTGCAGCTGATTGTGAATCTCGTTTGTTTTATTGGCATTGCAAAGCCTCGTCTGCGCCCGTCTGTTGCATGAATGAAACTAACAACCGTGTTCGTTTCCGCACCGCTTCAGTACGCGCCATATCCGTACACGAAGGAGGCGAAGGAAAGACGAAGTGCAGTCCATCGCTATTTTTATAATTTCTGGTCAATCCTTTCACATCGTTGAATGATACAGAATTCTTATTGTTTCTCAAGGGCTAATAATCTTCCCAGATGACGGTCTATCGTACAATTGCAAAGGTTCTTGTGTGACCATCTTTTCGGGTTTCTATGTCGGGCGGTGAGGTGTACATGTATGCTAAATACCAGAAGATTGATCAGTCTCGAGATATTCTCAAACTCTTCGCTAAGACTCTACGTGCCTACATGTGTCTCTTTAAGCGTTTAGTCTGTTTAAAATGGCGAAGTGTCGTTAATTGTGATCAATTTTGAGCAAGGTTTATTTAACAGCGCGACGAACCAGGTTTCATTCTGAATAGTTTTCCGCGTTGCGGGGCGCTATGGTTTCCATTCACTTGGCATTGAAATGAGCTAGACACGCACAATTATTGCAGAAATTTAGCGCTGTTTAACGAATCATCGAACCATCTAACGACACCTTCTCTCTTTCAGACGAATCTTTTAATGAAGATGAGACACATGCTGAGGGAGAAAAAGATGTCAGAGGTAAGTTAGTAGCTTTTGGACGAAAAATTATTTTGTCACGTAGCGGGTTGCATCAGGTTAAATATTTCCGGGAGCAAAAACAGCTCTCTCGAAGTTTCTTCCGGGAGCAAAGCAGTTCGCTTTTTGTTTGCTCTATGGTTAGGTGTTCTCATTATGCTTGAATGATCGAAGTTAACTGACATTACTTGTTTTTGCTAAGGGTATTTTGTAATTTCTTTGTGTTAAAACCACAATAGAGATATCTTTGGCTTGTGGACGTAATTTATATTTATGTATTAGCTTTAACTACCTCCGTTGTTCGCTTTAATTCCTGTGTTACCTGTCTTGGACAAACGAAGAGACTGCTATACATCTCATTTTTGCATTCAGACGAAACATTTTGTTCTCGTGTTTTTTGCTGTTTCGTGGTCGAAAGGTTTAGAACAAGATTCGGGAGTGATAAGTCTCGAGGACAAAATGGAGTTGACATTTATTGATTTGCATAAATTTCGCAATGACTTGTATATTAGCGCTCGTCAATAAGGTTTTGTTCTGAGTTTCCTCAGTTTCTTCACCAAGGTATCGCTGATTTATTCAGGAATCACAGTTTTAGTGTTGATATCTTTTTATCGAGTCAAATGTCGCCGGGCCTAAAGTAATACTGCTCTCAGATTAAAGCATAATTATCATATGGGCTCTCTCGTACCGAGACATAAACACACAGCACTTCCTTTTAGCTTCGATTTGTACTCTCAGCTACAACTTAATGGAGAGTTGCTATTTCAGCACTTTTTTGGTAAAACCGTCGTATTCCGAGTCCAGAGCAAATCAATATTGTGAACATTTACTCTGTGACAATGTAACGTTAGCTTACGATATTAAACAGGCTTGGGGTTTACGATGCACATATATTAAATATCGTACACCTTTGAATATGCAAGACTTGGAGGAAAGTAGATTTTGCTGATAAAATATTAAAACATCTTTTCAGTTTACAAATGCTCTGTTTTAACTTTAAAAGAGATTTGCAAGCCTGTCGTTTGTAAACCTAAGCATGTAAATTATAATTTAGAGCTCTGTGAGATTTTGTTGTAGCGTTCCTGATATTAACCGTTCAATAAATATTACCACTATGGAGCCATGTAATGACGTCTGTCTCGAGATAAATGGCTAGTTTATTTCCTAAAAAACTTGTAACTGAGATTCGTAGGCTTCGCTGTGTAAGACTGTGGTTTAAAGTGTGAGGAAAGTTCGCTTGAATTTTCCATTTCTAGTGTTGACAACGAAGGCGCGAAAGGTTTCTAAACAAACCCCCTGGCACATTATAAACAATTTCTTAAACCGTTGTATGTATAATGCAAAGGAGCTTAGCTTTAATCGGGAGCAATTTTACACTACAGTAAATTTGGCCTGAGGAGTTACTTGCTGCATTGTAGAGCGTGTTTTCAACGGTATTCTAGAAAGTTATCTAAAAATTGTAATTTTTTTGTTTTAAAATTATTCCACGTATTTATGTAGACATTGGCTTGCTTTTTGTTTAAACCTGTCTTTTACTATTATTTGGGGAGCTTGGGTCAATTGGGGGTAGGTTCTGGAAGAAGATAAATGGTTTTAATATTTTGTGTGAGCTAAAGTGGTGAAGTTAGCAAACAAAAGACAGGAAAAAGAAAAAAAAAACATTTTCAAAAAACTTGTTTATGAATGCCAAATATTCCGAGTGTGTGGATGCCTTGAAGCTAAAACCTAGCTCATGGCCGAAATAATTTTAAACATTTTGGCTTCATAATTTGGCACGTTTCTTCAGCTTGGGGCCAGCTGATGAAACATCTGCTTGTTAATATAACAAGTTGGGCGGAACAAATTTCATTTAAATTTTTAAAACTTGTTTTACTACTATCCACTCTGCAAAGATGCTTGAAGCATTATGAATAATGGGCACGTCTTGTATGTCAACAGTGAATGAATTATCTTTCCTGTGCTACCTCAATGAATCGCAGAACGTCTTGTACAATGTAGAAGGAATTTATTAGAGAGACTGTTGTTTACCTCCTTCACTTTAATATTCTGAGACACTTGGCTTTATTTTCTGTCCAAGTCTTCGAGTAAACAGCTATTGTTTTTACCTGCATTTTTGCAGAATAGGAAACTCATTAAAAACGTAGTAAATAATAATTTTCATACCATCACGAAGGCGCATTTTGGCAAACATGCATGTGAAAAAAAAAAAAAGCTAAATTTGCTCAATTTGGTCTCAAGGAAGTTAAAAAAAAAAATTTCAATTCTACCTGTTTTTTAAAATTTCGGATAAATTTGCTTGGGTGGATGTTTTATTATTATTATTCGCCTGATCATCAGAGAAAATAAGTCGAAAGCAATTTACTTTGTTAACGGCGAGCAGGTTTCAAACGACTTTCACCAATGAATAATAATTAATTTTTGTTACAGGGCCAGTTAATTGATGCCTGTAGTATTAATGACAAGTTTGTCGTTTCTTGAGACGTGGTTAATATCACAGGAAAAAAATAACTGTTTTCAAAAGAATATGTCACCATATTGTGTGCTTTATAATTGTTGTAACACACTAGTGCAGAAGTAAAACAACTGGATTTGCAAAAATTCTTTCGCTAGAGCTTTTGCCGTTTTGCCGAGGGCAAAATATTTCGTTTCTTCCGTTAAAAAGACAGTTTTGTATGACCTTGGCTGAAAACTTTTACCTTATAACAAGAGAAGTTAACTAATTGAACGGTTTAATACGTAAAGTTTTTTTTTGGCTGAAGTGTGTTCATTTTAAAAACCACATATTTTTTAAAACGATAATTTGATCCTTTTTTTTTTTTACTCAGTTACGTTTCATGTAGGACTTGGCAAGCTTAAATACTCATGAACACTCCCTTATCACCCACCTATCCTTCAAACAGGTGAAATTTATTTAATAATACTTCTATAAATGCAAATTTTAATGGCGGTGTGTTTCTTTTCAGTGAAAAGTGACAGCGAACTAATTGAGGGTGCCAACGATACAATAACCTCGTCGAGCAGTTCTTTCGGTACGTTGTAATAATTATTTGTTGTAAACCTCTAGGAAGTTATTAGCTGGGAAATTAGAACGAATACAACGCCGGCAAACCCAAGTGTTTTCGTGTTTAGATACTTTGTAAAATTTCCGACCCCTGGGGGAACATAACCGTATCATATTTACAAAAACCGCCCTTTCAACAGGCGATGCTATAACACACAAAAAATTAAACCAATCTGTGATTAAAAGACTAATTTCTCCTTAAAATATCGACACCCACTCAAGCAAACAAGTCATGAGAATCTGTAACAATAAGCATCAACTCAGATTATAGCCTTATATGATGATTGTTAAAAATAATATTTACATTCAGCGTCTATAGATTTCCTTCGGCAGACTTCTTGATGCCCATGCAAAAGAATTGGTGCTTTTTTTATCGTCTAAATGAAGGCAGTAGTAACTCTGAATCACAGTAACGATTTAACTTGGAGGGGGTATTCCTTTTTTTTTTTATAGTAGGTGATTGTACTCTTTCTTTCGAAGAAAAACAAGCAGTTTGCCATAATATTCACGCTGGGCGTGTGTTTATTGATTGTCAAAAAAACCAGCTTTCTGCCATAATTTGCATTTGAAAAGATTTTCCGAACAAGCGTCCTTTGTGAGTTAATTTCTGAAAAAAAAAAAAGATTTAAAATTAAAAACTATTTTATATTTTGTTTACCCCAGTACCCTCCAAGAACTCCACGGCAGGTGGTATTGGTCCGGTATCCAGGCCCCAACCAAGTAAGTACTCCATGGTAAAGTGTTATTCGAAAAGTGTTAATCAGCATTTCTAGGGTTATTTTTGTTATAATTACCACTCTCTTCGTCTCGGTCTGAAAAATTGCTCACACCTAGCGTGGCTTGGGTAATTGGTAATAAATTGCTTCCTGTAGGATGTGCTACGTGACACTTTGACTCGCTCAATTTAATGATTGATCATTTATATTCATACATACATACATACTTTGTAGATTGCTTTCTCGCTGAATAATGACTAATTATAATTTTATGCCGCTTGTGGTGTTAAAGAATGCCTTTCATTTAACCCTTTAGATCTGCCACTGAGTTACCCCGTAGCCGGATACCCTGCTCAAACCAACACTGCTTCTAATGGCTTCTGCGCTTCTCGCCTGTGGCCGCCAAACGGGAACTTCCCGCCGTGTGTTCCACCAATCAACGGATACACCCACCAACGCCAGCCTCAGCGCAACATGCCGGAACTTCACAGGAATCGTGATCTCCCCCCGGTGCCCCCACTGATTCCCTCCCCGACCAGTCCGTTGGATAACTTCCCAAGGACGCCATTGCAGACGCTGTCGTTGGCGGCGAGTTTCTTCGCGAAAACTGACGCGCTGTTTGATGCGGCTTCACAGCCTAAGAAGGCCTCAGCCGAGGAGCGCGTGAGAACCCGAGATGGGCTTTATGATGAGCCATTCTCCGCTGGTAGTCTTCTTAACAACGGGGCTTCACCTCCCGACGCGAAGAAACCAAAACTGGAGGGCTCGTTTGCACCGCTCAGTAAGATGCCGCCCAACGGGGCCCCACCGCCTATGAGGCCGTCACCAGCCGAACACCATGTGCCTTTCCCGGCGAGTCTTTCCCCCAAATCGTGTGCGGACAGTGAGCTGGATTATGTAGAAGAGCGGGTATCACCCTCTCCGCCGGCTTCTCCGTACGGGAGCGGCTCGCCCTCGCAGAGGGGATGCGACTCGCCTGTTGCCCGCAGGAGAAACAGCTCGAGTTCAACGGATTCTGGCACCGAGGAGGCGAAAGATGGTGAGTCAATGTACCTATTGTGATTGATTTTTGTGCAGCACAGGCAAAGCCTTCACTCAAGGCATCTTACTTGCTGAAAACTAGGTAGGGGCGACACGGACAGATATAGCGGGCTACACGAGCTGTTGACTCTTTTTCGTGTGCAATGCAAAACTCGAATATATTTAATTTCTTTACATTACCTGTTGGACTGTTGGATTCATTTCCACTCTTTTGTTGTTTGCAGGTAACCATAATCGCAGCGAATCGTCCTCTAAAAGTTCTAATTCCAGTTCACCCAGTGCAAAACCCCGCGTTGGCCGAAGAAAGCGTAAGTGATTCAAATATTGTGTTTCTTTCTTATTCAAAACAGTCAAAACATAAATATGCTTTGGAGTTACCGCGAACATTGGGTCATCCGTATTTACTATTAATGTAAACACGCAGACGCCATTTTTCAGTTCTTAAATATTTCCTCTATCTTTTCAGAAACAAGATCTTTACATCTGTGGGAATTTCTCAAAGAACTCCTGGAGAACAAGGAAACGTGTCCGCGATACATCACGTGGATAGAGCGTGAGGAAGGGATTTTCCGACTCGTCAACTCGGGCGCGGTGGCTAAGCTTTGGGGTCAGCGGAAGAATCGGCGCAACATGAATTACGAGAAGATGAGTCGTGCTTTGCGGTACTACTATGAGAGGAAGATCCTAGAGCGGGTCCCTGGCCAGCGGCTGATCTACAAGTTTGCTCCTGATACCATGAAAGAGTGTAACTTCAGCTTCATGAAGAAAGACGGCTGACATATTGGTCGGTGACTGTTATGTGTGTGTTTTTTTTTTTTACATGTAGTTTAGCTATCATACGACTTTGTGATTTTCAAACATTTACGGATTTGTGAAGTCCTCTCAAACATCCGGGATTTACTGGAAATAAGTATTTCCTTTCTCTGAGAAGTGGCCGAGCCCGCGATGTGTTTGTTACAGAGTTGCTTAGCAACATAGATCAAGCTTGAGGTAACCACGCAGTGGTCAAATGCCAGGCGTTCGTGCGGTTCCCGCCAAAACTGCCGCTAATTATCTCAACGTTTAAGAAATTCTGAACTTTCAAGCAAACGAACACGTTAACTTAGGCGCTTGTGCCGGAAGTAATTTTTTGAATTTGACTGCTGTGTGTATTTCAAGCGAAATTTGAAATTTGTTTGAGATGAAGTCACACAATACTGATTACTTTTGTAAAATGAAAGTGATTACTCAGTCATCGGGTCTTTTGATTCAAGAGAACCTTTTTGACTGGAAAGTTTCATTTTTTAAAATTGATTAAGAAAAAAAGTGAGAAAAGAACGATGAAAAATGTTTATAAATAGCTGATGATTGGTCAAGAGGAAGCATTTAGACTTCACTATAACCCAGTAAAATACAGCGCCCTCTGGAAGCGTTGTCTAATTATCACTAATAATCAATCCATTTCGACCAAAGAGTTCACTATTTTTTGCCTCGTTACATATGCAAAGGTTATGTGTCGCGGAAAGCGCTTTTGGTACGACAATGTAAATATAAAACTTTCAGTCTTTTCGGCACCATTTTCAAAGTTAGCAATTAGGGCAAAGTAGGAACTGTCTTAAAGGCAGCTGAGAGGGAAACTTGATTTTTTTTCTCCCTATGTTTGCTGTGTGACGTTTTTTGCCCAATGTTTCACATTATAGATGAACTATAAGAGTTAGTTATTTACTTTATTTGCTATTTGTTGGTTTCGGTATGCTTTCATTGGCAGTCATATTGAGGTCATGAACAACACGTCTGATTTGACACATGGTCGTCTCCTGATTGATTGTGTCTTCATGCTTTGAGGGGCTTTGTCACGGATGACTAATTTTGACAAATTTAGATTTTTCTACGTTCGTCTTTCGTTATTCGTTCACATTTTCAACAATCCTTGCACCTTTTCGGAATCGCTGTTACCTTGATCGTTCTTTTTTTTCCCCTTTTTTTTCAAGTTTTTTGTTCACCTATTATTTTGAGGTAAGCGTCCTTTTCAAGCCTATTTTACAAACCTCAAAACGACTTTAAATCCGTGACACAACCCTTTAAAAGTCCAAAAAAATGTGTCGAATCGTGTTTGAAAATTAATCCTGTTGTTCTCAAAAGATGCGCAAAATTTTCACTCAAGGCCAAGAGAACTGTGCTAAACTCATGACCAGACATAAGTTCATAGATTCTTTGTTCGACTACCATACATGCAGCTGCTGGTGTTTTGAAATCGCTAAGCAAGGAACCCTTGTGAAGGTGGCTTGGTTTGTCACGGCACAAGTTGCATTGCGTGACAACACGTTTAACGGCTGTAAACGTGACTTTTCAATCCAAGGCGTGTGTGACAATAGACCAAAATTCAGCCTGACACAATGGACCTCAGCACGAGGCTCTGGCGAATAAACCCCACAAACTCTGTAGTTATTCCTAGGAGCCTCGTACTGAGGTCTATTGTTTTAGGCTGAATTTTAATATATCAAAATTGGTCTGTTGACTGCCAGATTTGTCATTATTTAGTTTCATATATTACATATTCATATTAATGTCACGTAGGTGACGCATGCCACACCATTTATCATTGTAAGATAATTAACATTCCATGTGTGTAATGCCTGCTGTGGTTTCGTAGGGAATATAACATTTTAGCTTGGTTAGAGTATATTTTGTATGGAAAGATTGTTTTTAATAAACATTACCATTGAAACATGTGTCTTAGTCGTCTGTGAAATACATCTCAGTCAAAATGCTATGGGGTGACCCACAGTGAACTAAGTTGCTTCATACTACAGAAGACCTCCGAGGGGGATGACCCACTTTCCTTGATCTCTAAAAAAAATTTTCTTAATTGTTTTCCTTCTTGTTCCCCATTAACATTCCCTTGTTCCCTTGAAATAAATGGTTTTATTTTTTCCAAGAGGGCACGGTAACAAATCCCGCAATTGAGTTTTTCTATCTCTGACCACGGTAATGAGCACGTGATGTGTGTGTGCGTGGAAAAGGTCAACAATTATAAAAGTGATTTGAAAGAGAGAGGAAAAAATAAATAAGTTATTTACCAGCTTGGGGTCAGTCTGTACATTGAAAAACTGTGACCTCAAACTTGAAAATGCTGCCCTTGGCCACAGTTTTTTACCATATGGAACTGCCAACTGGCAAACAGCTTAAAATTATATCTATTCCCTTGTTCCCCCCAAAAAACCCTGGGAGGCCTGCACTACGGAACCCAGAGTGCTGGCAACATCAATAGAAACCCCCTCCCCTTTGATATCCCAAGGCAAATGTACTAAGGCCTTATTTTACACTTCCTGCAGTAGAAGAACAGCAAGCTAAACCTCACATAATTGTACAAGAGTTTCACAAATACACCCACGTTTTTTATTCACGATAATGTATAACAAGTTTGATCTTCACTTTTTGAAGATCCAGAGCCCTGAGTGACTTTTGCCACGGAAATAATTTGAAAGCAGAACACAATTTCCTTGTAGTTGTGTATGAAACTTGTCCTCACCAATTTCCTTACGATTGTGCTTATTCCTAACAAAATTTTCCTCACTCTTCCCTCCCATAATTTTCACTATCTGCTGTGCAAGCTAAGACTAACAAACTCTCTCAATTTGGTTCTAAAGATAAAATATTCTAATTTAAAACATTTAGTGCTTAGGGTCCCAAGGAAGAGAGGAGAGGGGTGTCTCTGGAACCCTTGTGTGAATTCAAAAACTTTTCTTTGTTAGAGCCTGGAAATAGATGCTTATTTCTGTTCTTAAGGGCCTTGAGGTAAAGCAACAGGGGCTTGGTTGTTAAATGTATTTTAGCTTCTAAACCTGGAGTCCTAAATAACTTGGGACCCTGAGAGCTAAATTGATTCTTTGTATAAACACACACTGTCTTTTTTGATCTACATGTATAAATTTATATTATATGATCATTTTATTATGCAATGTATTTAACAATAATTATAATCATCACTTAATTTCTGTATGTTATGCATATGAGCTAAATACATTTTGTTATACTGAAGTAAATGACTTTGTAATATACATTTTGGGTATGTGCATGTACATGAAAGATAAGATATATTATCAGTTTTTTTTTAGACAGCCAGCCCTGCAGCGTTTTGTATCATAAATTCAGTTACCTTTTTACAGTATTTTGGAATGGAACAGCTCCTACTAAACTGTCACTTTTCTTGCCTTCAAGGCCTTAGTCCATTAGAGTCATTTTCTTGCCTTGACTTCCATTGCTAGCGCCTTAAAACCACCACATAAAAAATAACCCTTAATACCCCCCCCCCCCAACCCAGATTAAAATTACAAACCAGGATATTTCTTTTCCTCTGCAAAGGCTTTTAGCCTACATAAAAAATCTCGCAATCTCACAAACACACCTTGTTGAGCCGCTACATAGGAGAGAGAAATGATGTGAACTTTTGAAATAAACATCAACTTTTGTCCTAAATCTCTACCATCTATCTTGATATTAAATGCGCTTCTTCCTATCTTCAACATCGGAGCTTGCTATCCCATTTGCTATGACTTCTCCATTAGTCATGACTTTACCGTTTGCCATGATATCAGCACTTTCCCTGACTGTTCCATTTGCTACACCCTTTTCATGCCTATTGAACTTCCTGGTAAAGTATGCATGAATGTAAAAATTTGAGAACAAAACAAGGAAGGAGATCATGTAACCAATCAAGGCATACTGCATCCACAGAGGATAGTTACACTTGACATAGAGTGAGACAACACCATGACAGAGAAGCATACAAAACTGGGTCTAAAACAGAGGGAAAAAGAGGAAAAAAGAAATTAAATAAAATATACTCTGTATTTCTTTAGTCTGTCTGCATGATTTTTGGGGTGTGGGGCAAGAGGGAATGTGGGATGCATGGCTGTCACCAACCTCATACCAGAATAGCTGACAGATTGTAAAATTAATATAATTTTTCCATAACCAGGTTCTCCTAACTCCTAGTAAAAAGGCAAGGTAAAGTCTGCATACAAGCAAAGTGGCCTATTAGACTGGTGTTTATCCTGGTTTCGGTAACATGAAGCGACAAGGTGTATTTCTGCTCCCCCCTGGATGAGATGCTAGTCCATTGCAGGGTTCCCTCCAGCATTAAGTTTGCTGGTACCCATTTATGCAATTGGCTAGAGAGAGGCACTGGGAGAGTAAATTATCCTGCCCAAGAACACAACATGATGTGCCCGGCCAAGACTTGAACCAGAACCACTTGATACAGAGGCAAGTACACTTAACTATGAGGCCACCATGCCTCTGTAACTCCTAACTCCTAGTAGGTCTGTAATAGTATTAATAGTATTAACAATTGTCTCATTGACCTATTTGAAATATTGTAGGGTATGATTAGGGCTTCATTTACATGTTGCAGCAGTCTGCAGTGAATTTAAACTGCCTTTGCTCATTCAAATTAAGCATGCAGCTATCTTAAGTTCTGGCAACAAAATTATGAACTTAGCCAAAGCTAAACTTCACTAGAGTTTGCAAAGTTGATGTTTCAAACTTTACCCCTCGGCTTCATCAGAGGATAACAAGCTACCACTCAAAAGATCGGATTCACAAACTCGTTGCAACACTTAATTTACCCCTGTCAACTTCTGAAGTTCATAAAGAGCAAAGCGTTTCACATCGACACAGTTTCTTCAGAAATTATTACCTCTATTACAATAAAACTTTCTTTTCAGTTGTTTGTCTGACATAAGTATCAAAAGAAATCATAGCTATTCTACAAGATATATATCAAAAGACAGCTTACCAACTGAAATTGTGTTAGATGCTTTTTCCACCAAAGGTATTTCCTTAAACTTGGTACAGCTGACATACCATAGTAAGTGTACATAAAGACGTGTACCATAGAATTAATCATTGCACTTAAAAATGCTGCAAAGAAAACAAATTAAATTCTGCATTTCAGATGAAGATCAGATGCCCTACATGAATACATTTGTTAAGAAAGGGTAAAGGGATAGTGAGTTTCAAAAAAATCAACCCATAAGGCAATTATTTTCAACTGGTGGAAATGTATCGTAGACTTCGGACTTCAATTTATCAACCCAAGACGCAAAGAGCAATGAATAACTTACACTGTCCACCCGCTACCCACTTCATTCCAATCCACCACAAGCCAACCATAGTTGTGTGGTGATAAACATGAAGGAAAGTTACTTGATTGTTCTTCTTACGGAGAAGGAAAAACATCTGCCAGATGAAGAATTAACACACATTATCAGATCACATGCAATGGACTAGCGATGATCCCTGTGATGGACTAGCATCCCATCCAGGGGGGAATAGAAATACTCCTAGTCGCTTCATGCTACNGAGATCAACATGACCTGGTGCGAAGCCAAAAGAGCGGCTCAGGACCGACAGAAATGGAAAGCAATTGTGGACGCCCTATGTCCCCCACGGGACAAAGAGGACTACATGATGATGATAAAATGAAAAAGATAATTGCGTTAATACAACAATGTTAAAAGCGAAAAGAACAATGCATCAGAAAAGTATTTTTTTTTTTTTTTAAAAAAAAAGGAAGAAAAGAAACACAAAACAATAAAAAACAAACTTGAAAAAGGCATGCCTGTCAAAACACGGTTGCCATGAAGCATAAAGACATGTCATACAATTTTTCTTAAAGACCCAAAGTTTAGCATCTATTACTAAAATATTACAAAAATTACAAATGCTTAAGTTCTGGCTTTTTGAGAAGAAGAAGAAGAAGAAGAAGAACTTTATTTAACGAGGGTAAAAACACTTAAAACAGTTAGCACTGACAAACTGGTAGCCCTCATAAGGAGTTCTTTGAGGAGTTCTGAATTTACGAAAAAGAAACTCCTTCAGTTCTAGCTTCCCGGTTAAAAATTTTAAGAAACCTGAAAGTGAAAAAATAATAGCTAAAAAAATTGCCGATCCTCCGTCACGACGCTTATTAATCTTCTCGACGTTTTAATGTGGCACTTGTTTGAGGGCGGTGCTTATATTATCAAAATGCAAAAACGCATTGAAAATGTTTTTGACGTAAACATAGCTCTTTCCTGTTCAGAATAGATATAGATATCAACAACAACCAAACTCAGCTTAATACCTATATGTGACTTTTCTTTCCGCATTTAAACATTTAACCCCTGCGAGCTATACTTAGGTGCGTTTCTTTAAGAAAATCCAAGATTGGATTCTTAAATCCGAAAGAATCCGAAAACGGATTTTACGTTTCTTTACTAAAAAGATCAATCCAAGATCTGTCGGATCATGGTGCGTCAAAGGAACCGAAGAATCCACACTGGGAGTGGATTCTGCGATTCCTTTGGCGCACCATGATCCCAGAGATCTTGGATTGATCTGTTTAGTAAAGAAACGGAAAACCCGTTTTCGGACTCTTTCGGATTTAAGAATCCAATCTTGGATTTTTTTGAAGAAACGCACCCTTACAAATTCAGCTTTCACACAAGAACTATACCTGAGGGGAACTTCGATCACTTCCCGCTAAAGAGTAAAGTGAAAGACTAGACTAGCCGATCGATTGTTAAGGAGTTTAGGGCCAGTCTCTTTCTATCCCAATAGCGATTTGGTAACATTTATTTCTTATTTTGTTTTACTTCTATATCTGCGGTGATGGGCTAATCCCTTTGAGCTTTGCCCATTTATACGAGTTTCAGGGGTGGGCGTTTTTTCCAGAAAACACGCTAAATTTTAATACAGAAGAATCAGGGCAGTCCATCAGGAGAGAGCTGAAACCCCCGCTCTCGTTTAGCGTGCAGTCTCTCGCACGTCTTTATCGACTCTCGTCAACACTCGGTTACTCTCATAAAGGCCATTCAAATTTTTCCTGATTGTCGACGCGTTCTCGCTCTTACATTTCGTGACTTTCTTCAAGTGGCGTGTACTCGGTATTCGGCCACCCTCGATGGTACTGATCGATGGAAGTTTCGGCGGTAGCTTACTTTCGTTTGTCTCCGACGCTTATCCGAGCAACCAGATGACCTCGGTTGAATCTGAGCGAGAATGAAATATTTGGGTGCAAAACATAACGGATGTTTCGACATGGTAGGAGATCTAACCTAGGTGCACGAAACTAACACCCCTGCTTACCTCCTCGAGCAATGAAGAGAGCCACAACAATTATGGCAACGTGGAAATAACTGCGAGCCATATTCACTGCTTCCGCTAAACAATTGCATACAAGGGTGGTTCGCGAATTTAGTTATGTGGATATTTGAGGTGGATATTAGAGGACACCCCATATAAGGTAAGGGTGGGCTTGCACAATCATTCATCAGTCAGTTAGTGTGATACATATCGGCTGACGTGACACAAGTGACAGTCAGCCCGGAGAGAGGTATGATGACAGACACCTTTATTGATTCATTTTTTTCTTTCAAATGCGAAGGAGTCTGTCTTTCTCTCAGGCAGTGTGACTCTCGCTGCCTTGTAGCAGAAGAAGCAGTCCTATAGTCTCACAGGTAAAAGCATCATTGAGATTCCTTCAAACGTAGATCAACGTACGTCAATCAGACAATGAATTAGTCAGTCAGTTAGCTTGTTATTCAGTGAGGGTCTCCCAGGGGCGGGGGAGGGGGGGTCTTTGTTCCCTTGTTCCCTTCCAAAATTGCCCTATGTTCCCATGTTCCCACACATTTTCGTTATTTGTTCCTCTTTGTAAATTTTTCGAATTTTTGTTCCCCTGTTCCCAAAAAATGGCTAATGTTCCCTTGTTCCCTTCGATATTTTGCCAATGTTCCCTTGTTCCCCAAAACCCCTGGGAGACCCTCTTCAGTCTGTCAGTCTCAAACAATCGTCTCTACACGTAGTGCCTATAACAATAATAAATTACAGGAAGCTCTCTCACTGACTGTCCTGTTCTCTGTAAAACAGGGAACTTTTCTGTATCACGCTAACTGACTGATAAATGATTTAGAGCTTAATAAAAGCACGTGTGATTCCCTGACAGTTGAAACAAGTCCAGTTCAATTCTTTCATTATGATCCGCATCAGGATTTATCATGCAAGGTCCTGACACGGATCATGGTATATCATTTACAATGATCACTGTTATCTTGGATCGTAAACAACTGATACATTAGAGATAATTCATATAAAAGCTAAGCCAATAATTCCACTCTCCTCCTCTCCCTCCTGCATCAACAATAGACAACGGGACTGACATAGCTATTTTCGAATTTAGCAGCCTTTTCCTGTTGTTACTCCGCCCGAAGGGTTGTACCTTTCGGGTGGCTAAAACGTTCAACAACTGTGGGCCGATCAATCTTCGTAAACACCGAGAATATATTTAAAAGAATAAAGCCAGATAATGCTTGTTGAACTAAAATAATTTGTGCTACACCGGAGCAGAGTAACGTCTTGTCTTTGTATGAATGAGCGCCATTCGAAAGAAATAAGAGATAATTTTGGTTCCCGTCTTATTGTATATTTCGATATATTATTTCCGGGATTATTTCCGATTGCTTCGGACTTAACAAGTCAGTTGACGTTTTAGTTCAGCACTTTTGAACAGCTTTTGCTTTCGGAGTACTGTTTATTTGGGATTTGCTACCAAGCAGGAAATCTTTCATTTGGAATCATGGTGTACCATTTACCACTGATAATCAAGAGGAAATTAGGGCGACTTTCAGAGCTTCTTGTTATATTCCCAGTGTAAATAACGATGTGCAAAGCCTAACTGCCACCGTTTTTGTTTTTTCGGTCCTGTAGATTTAGCAGGCGGAAGGACCTCCGCGTCGAGAGGGGGATTGATATAATCAGCCGACAACATTCGTTGTTGTGTCTTTTGTCCTGTAATATTTTGTTACAAAGGTTACTGATCGAACTCGATGGAACCGTTTTGTTATGGCTCAATTATAGCTATAAAAGGCAAAAAAGTACCAAATTTTATTGTGTGTCATTACTTTTACTTCCAAACAGATTTAAGACCAGAGAGGACTTACATGAATTTACATGTATAGAGGCAAGGTTTCTTGAAGTATAGCGTAGTAAGACTCAAGTAAAACAAATTATACCACTTACAAGACTTCGTTTTTCTGGCAAGATCACACAGTGCGAGCCATCTTTAGAGCATTAAAATTAATGACGGGTTCTTGAAATAGCGGTACTATACCAGTTTAGAATAAATGGCTTTTCGAGATCACACCTCGTGATCTACAATTTTTTCTGTTATTGATTGGGGGATGCCTGAGAAACCAAACACTGCACACTTGTGCTTGAAAAGTTTGACGGCCATGTCAAGTTTGATCAACCAGTCAATCAATCTACCCTTTTAGAAGAGTTTAGAAGCCTTGTGTTTGTGCCTTATTGAAATCTATCAATCAATCCATCCATCCATCCATCCATCCATCCATCAATCCATCCATCCATCAATCCATCCATCAATCAATCAATCAATCAATCAATCAATCAATCAATCAATCAATCAATGTCTCAGAAACGTCTGCTCTGTGTTTTCACAGGTATACCACTCTCTGTTTGTGTGCCAATGTGTGGAGGACTGTGCTAATCAAAGGCTTTGTCGCTAGTCAAATCATCCTCGCTAAGGGCTATTTATAGGCCTTTATAGCGCTTTTTAAACTGATTTCATTACTTGCATGAAAAAGTTTCGGGCGATTTTAATTTCGAACGATAAATGTGTCCGAAAATATAACCGTCCGAAATGTTTACAGTATATTAGAAGACTTTTGATTAGTAGTTCAAAGCTCTTAGTTTCCTTTATAGTCCAGCTGTTAAGAAACAAAATTGTTCGTTTTTTGATAAAAGCATCAAACTTGGCAGGGTTTCTAACCTCTATAAGACAAATATTTCAAGTTCCTAATATGGAGGCATGCCAAATTTGCTTCTAGAACCATGGAATGCGCATGGCGAAAATATTGCATACAAGGCCCTTACATGGAAACGAGGCTGATGCAAGATACCAATTATTTTGGCCTTGTGGGACTACTATGCCTAGTGTCTTGCTTTTTTTTAAATTAATACGATAACAAATTAAGCAGTGCCTTTGAGTCTTAAATTATGTCACGTGATAGTCAAGTGACCATTGTTTTCAAATACCTCACTACATGAAATTTTCGCGACAGGTTAATTTCGCGAATTTCGCGATTTAAAAAAAATCGCGAAATTTAAGTGACGCGAAAATTAAATGTCGCGAAATTAACAGGACGCAAAAATTAAGTGACTCACATTATGTCAATAATTAAAAGAGCGACTTTATTACCATTACACACGTTTACGACAATCATTTTGAACTATTCTGTGGTAATGTTCTGGTCCTCTTCATCACTACTGCTTTGCGTCTCCATTCCAGGTAGCACTTCTTTTGTACAATCCTCAAACTGTCCATTTACTGGCTCCTTGTAGTGCTGTTCCACCTTGATATACTGTTGTTGTGAACCGAGACAATATACTGTATACATGCTACAGTTCCATTTTTACCATAGTTTCTACTACATTTTGGGAAACCTCTATTAAGTGGTCAACCTCTATTTAGTGGTCAGTTGGCTCATTCCCGAGGGTGACCGCTTAATACAGGTTTTACTGTATATATACGTAGTTTACTTCGGTTTTCTTTAAAGCAGCGTGTAAAAAAAGCATTTTCCGGAAGGCACCCCTGAAGGTCTACAGTAACCTTAAAACACTCAAAAATTGTTTTCTCAAAACCACTTTACTGGATCAAATTGAAAAACATAGTTTTTGAAATTTTTTTAAAAGTACAACTAGTGCATTTGTACCCTGTTTGTGGGCAATATCACTCTGAAAATCCAAGTTTAAGCTTTTGAGTATTCAATTTTAAAAATGAAGTGAAGTGTGTGCTGGCACTGACGCATGTAAAGATCTTGAGGCATAAAAGAACACAGGAACAGCTTTGTGAAGGCTCTGTAATTCCATAGTTCTTAAAAGTCCTATGCACAGCAACTGTTCTCCAGCTCACGTCAGCACTGGGTAACCAGGCCACTATCTCACAATATCGTTACAACATATGGGAAATAGTTGTTTTTCCGGAACTAATGAACCATTTGCAATGGATCAAAAGGTTTCCTTGAAAAGTATTTTCAAAGAGCTGAACAGCAAAGTTATTTAGTTACTGCATCTTGGAGGTTTACCTCCAAAAATGCCTTAGTAGTCATAGACACACAACTAGAGCCATTTTGACAGGTACTTGTCAAATGACATCATCAATCAAAGTACCATCCATTTGCATATGTAATGGGTTTGATTGACATATCAAATGACACCATCAATCCAACTCTTCTGATGGGTTCATTTGAAAAATACTTTTTTCTTGATGGGTAGGTCACTCAAATAATGCCACACAGTGACATTTTTTTGAACAACTCTATTTCACCAAAATGTTCTCTAAATGAACATAGCAGGAGGTGTGTGGGTCCTAGTGACCTTGCGCCTTGAGTTTTTAACTATTTAAAAATGAGAAATGTGTGTGTGCAAACCGATTGGAGAATAGTAGGGAGAAAGTCTGTTTTTGTAAGGTTGTGCGTGTAGGTTTTTTCTCTATTCAATTCTTTCTGGTTCTGTGCTTTTTTCCTCAAATTCTCGAATTCTTTTCTCTTTAATTTCCACCAGGTCTTCAATTTCAGCCACTCTAAACTTCAAATATGTGATTGCAAATATGCTGTCCATGTTTAGGTTTCAAGTTAATGCCTGAATGTATTTTTGTACAGTGTAATGCAGACTTGCCAGCAGCCAACCTTTTTTCTCTTTCTTTGTTTTACTAATCCCCTTCTTTACCCTCTACTCCCTATGGCAAATGGCAGTTTTTCCGAAATCAGCAAATAAAGACTCTGCCTGTGTACAATATACATGTATTTAAGAACTGACATCAGCAGCTTTGAAGGAGGTAGTCATTTTGAGGGAAATTGTTTTAAAATGTGAAACTGAAAAGCTTCCAGCATGTTTCAATTCTCAAATATCTTAGGTGTGCCCCTGAACTATAGCTTATTTAGTAGGTCTTAGTGCATAGCTTGATTTGAAACAAGTCTTTCATTCCATGTGCATCTCAAATGATAAGTTAGAAATTATTGGGGGTGATCAACCATGTTTAAGATAGGAGGGGGTCACAATTTTATGCCTTCAATGAGCAGATCTTTACAAGACAATGATTGTAGCAAAAATTCGTAAAAATCCCTCAAATATTCACAAAGTTATGATGTTGTGTGTCATATGCCACTCTTAGGGAGCAAGGGGTTAATTAAATAAAGGAGACTCCTAATTGGTCTTATTTACATTTCTTGACGTGAAATATAATAAACTGTTTGCCTCGCTTTTTTTCTTTTATCTTTTCCAACAATTATTACTGCGCCAAAGCTATCAAGTGGTTGTGTTTGAGGTCATTTAAACAGTTAACAAAAACTAAAACACGAGAGACATTACGTGGCTTCTGTAACACACACATACAAACAAAAAGGTTATTTTAGGAAGGATTGTTTTAGAACGATCACTGAGATCCCTTTTTTACATTTCACTATGTGCAATGAAGAAACCAATCATTTCTTCTTTCATTAGTGTGTGCATTTACTTCAATTGCATATCG